TTCCCACTCTCACCCTACGACCCGCACGGGAAACCACCAGCTCATCTGCCACGTAGCAATCTGAGTAAAATCAAAAAATGTCAGCTGACGAGACTCCACAGAAATATTGTGGAAAAACAAATGGAAGCCCACTGACCTGCACCCACGCTGTTCCTCACCATGGCCATCACGCCAACAACCTTCAGGTGCTGTGGCTTCAGCTGGGCTACGATCTGAAGAGCAAGAGGAGTTTCAAAAGTTTCACTTCCCCATTTAAAATGTATCAAATCTCAGTATGTATAGCGGCCCTCTGAAGACTGCAGGGAGGCGAAATATTCACCTCTGTGCATCTAATAAGGTTTTTATTAACGGTGACTCAGCAGCGTGCAGAGCTGATTTATAGCTGAGTCACAAGTGATGAATATTTATTCCAAGTATTTATTGTTCAGGTGCAAAGAGGCGATTATTCACCTGGAAGAAGCCAGCGACAGCAGCAGCTCCACACTTGTCCCTGTGCATCCCGGCCATGACGCCACCAGCCTTGATGTCTGCTCCACCGGTGTCGTAGGTGATACCCTGGAAACGCCACATCAGAGGCACATTTGCTGACTAAGTACAAACGAATACCCGCCACTTCTTTCTGATTTCCTACCTGACACCTTCCTGCTATTCTTCCTGTTAACTCCCATAATAATCAAACACTGTTACGAATCACTAATATATGCATCTGCGCCTCTATGGTGTTTACCAGATTGGATATGTAATGTAGTAAACAATCTACACCCTACATACAGTTCTAGCCCATCTGTCAACACAACCTGGCAACTCACAGCCAATTTAAGCAGTTAAGTGTTCAGCAAATCTGTGTAACACTGAAGAAACTAGCTCTCTGTTTTAGCTGGTGCTAAACTCTGAACATGCTGTAAGAGAGACATTTTAATCTGGATAAATACACTTTTGATCACAAGCTTATATCTGCTCATTGTGGGCATGAAGTTAGTCAATGCCATGGGCTCTGAGGTTAAATGGTGTAACATTCATATTTTATATGACTATATGATATTTGAGGGGGTTTTCATTTTGGGTTTAATATCAGCTTGTAGGGTCTCAACTTCATAATATGAAGTACATTGGGCTGACTATTGTAATGATCTGGTGTTATATGAATAATATTTAAATAAAGCGATTTAATTGGTTCAAGGGCAGACACGTAAGAGTGTAGTCTCACCTTTCCCACCAACATGAGCGTCTTTTCGATCGGCCCCTCTCCGCAGTACTGCAGTTTGACGACTCGGGCCTGGTGACGGGGTACACCTGCAAAAGAAGAAAACATTAAATCAGTTTGATAGCTTTAAAAAAAAACACAAAAAACAACCCCATCTTAACAGCTTTGTGGGTCAGTGGCGTCTTACTGTTGGCACAGCGGTTGACCGCAGCCAGGCACGGATACTCTTTCTCCAGAGTCTTCAGGTCGCTCACCACTTCAACCTGACGGTGAACAAACGCAGAGGTTTGAGGTGAGAAAACGTGGATTAAACTGTCACAGAAGAACCAAAGATAAATTAAAAAAAAAAAAAAAAAAAAAGTTGTAGACTGAAAATCAACGAAAATTCCAAATTCTGAATTTTTCTTAAAAAACAAAATGTAACAATACTCGTTCTTACCTTCACAGGGCTGTCTTTAAAGAGTTCCTGGACGTAATCAGCCACACGAGGAGCAGCCATACGTTCAGGGTCTGATCCACCGATGTCACGGTACGCCAGTCTGAGGGGGCCAAATGTGGTCAGCTTAGGAAACGTGTGCAGACAATGAGTTCAAGTATCTGACTCACCTCCCATTCTCCAGAGCATTAGCCAGCTCCACCAGCTTTGTTCCCCGAGCCTCTTCCGCTGCCCACAGTCCCAGAACACACACCTTGTGGTCATTTTTTTTCACGTTGCTCTCTCTCACTTCAAGAGGCTTTTGGGCACAAAGAGGGTGAATGAGTGTCCTTTTTGCACACAGATACGTTTTTCTTGTTTTTAATTCATGGCTCCATACAGGGAAACTATCTGAATACAATTTCTAAACTTGGCCACAGCATCATTATGATTGCAGACAGCGTCTCTAGAGTGACTGTGTGTAGTGTCTGCAGCTGCTTGTGTCCACCTCACACACCTTTCGATTTCCATACATGGATGATAGCACTTATACACTAAACCTGTCATTACTGGCAAACGGTAAACCATCAATCAAGATATTTTCTCACCATGTAGAGTGCATGAAGGGCTCCGAGCGCAGCCACCAAGGTGTTGTTCTTGTAGTCTGCGTGTGGAGGGCACACCAGCAGGGGGCGCTGCATGCCAGCTTTTAAGGCACTGAAAGGGCAAACAGACACCACATGAGGTAAGAAACATGGAAGTAAACCAGCAATTCAAGTCAAAGAAGGAGAAGAAAAAAGTCAGCTGCCTTCAACTGACCGCTGGATCCCGTTGACTGCTGCATCACTGAAGCGCCTGATGTCATCGTAGTCGCGGTTTACGGGGCCGGTGGAGGCAAACACCAAGCGGTTACCAGGAAGGCCAGGGACCTTGATGACCACCACCTCCTCCCCCAGACCGCTGTCCACCTAGAATCACCACAAAGCACAATGCATCAGTAGAGGGCAGTAGTAGTACCATGACTGCAGTACGTCACTGTCACACTGAGGTTTAGAGGGCAGGCAATTTCAGGTCCTTCAATGCAGCTGCTCACATCCATCACACTTCCTTAACTTCTTACTGTCACAGTAACATAACAGACTGACTGTGTGATGCTTTTTCACACTAATGTAGCAGGAATGACAACAAGATATAATGACGAATATCTGCTAAAACTGTGCTGATTTAATAAAGTGATTGTTTAAATCTAATATAATGTAGCTTAAATTGAGATTATTGTTTGGTTTGTGGATCTTGTGATTACCAATCACTTGGTTCAATTTAAGATGATTTAATTTCATTTGGCCCTTTATTTGCTTTGGTGACGCCCTTATAGAAAGTTTCAGACAAGGTTTAAATGTGAAAGTGTTTTTCCATCAGATTTGGAATGCCCTGCCCGATGAGATCAGCCAGCCATGACTTGCTTTCTTTTTCATTAAGTTTGTAACAATTCTCCAAGGACATAAAACATGAAAATATACTGACACGTACCTTTTTTCTCCTTATTTTAACTTCTCCTCACGTTTATTTTAATGTGGTCTTATTTGTTTAACCCTATTGTTTTAATCCAGCTTCTATGCCCATCTTTTGCACAACTGCAAGCAAATATATAGTCGAAAGAAGAGAGTTGGACTCTTACAGCATTGTAGTCCTGCAGTGGGGCTTTCAGGGACTCAAGTTCAGAGGGCAGGGATTCATGGCTCTGGGTCACTAAAACAATCCCATCAAAACTAGAAAGAAGAAACAAACGGTCTTTTAAGAAAATCAAAAGAATAAAAACTGACAGTCAAAGAGGAAGTGGGGCCCTGATACTTACTTCTGGTTCCTGAGGTCGCTCGTCCATTGGATGGGCTGGACGCTGGAGAGAGAAACTGCAATGTCAGCAGAGCCTAACACGATATCTCAGAAGACAGAGTTGCACAATCAGAGTCTTTTATAATGCAGGCTACTGATAAAAAAAGTGGGCCAAGGTTCTGTGTTGTCTAAAGCTGCTAAGGAGTGTCACAGAATACATTTCCTGTGGCGGTAAACACGTTTAGACTTTGGTTGTCCATGCAACTTGAAGCCAGAAATCTCGTTGCTTGAGCTAAAATGACCGTCTCCAGACTTCGCAAATAACCTGCGCTTTACAGGGAATAAAATGCTCACGAGACTGACTCATTTCACATGAGTCAGATACTTCTGGCATCATATGACGCTTAGAAGAAGGGAAGTAACCGAAAGTGAAAACTAGATATGAATAAATATCTGCAAGCAGGATGGTAGGTTCGGATTTATCCACATTTTAACTAAATAAATAACACGTAAAACAATAAATTCAATATCATGCAGCTGTGTGCAAAGCCAGTTAAACACGTGCTTAATAAAACAAGTAATCACACTCACAGCAATATCATTACTACTACTTACGACTACTTAAAACTACGCGTTTATGTGAGACACGTGGATTAATATGGCCTCCTTTTTGCTATATTACCACTCTGACTTATTGCATTAAGTTTATATTACAGTTAAATATATCTTATTTTCACAGCCTGCTATTTGTGGGTTAAAATACAAAACATGTTGAAATTGGATCCGATTCTGCGCATGCGGCAGAAAGCTGCACGTCAGAAAACTGTTAAATTAGCCGTTTTGAATTTTAAATAAAACGTAAATACTACCTGGTGCACATTTTCTGTCGTCTTGCTCTGCTACCTTCAGGATGAAAAGCCTAAATGATCCTTCCTACACCGGTCAGGAATTGGTCACATGATCCACTCACGCTGCCTTCAGGGACTTCCGTAGCTGCACGATAAAGACAAGCTTAGCCGTAAAGTGCTTTTTGGGTCGGCTAATAAAGGCAGCTTTGACACTAAGCAGCTGGTTTCAGTGTGTGGTTAATCAGCAAAATTGTGTGCTGTGAATTTATTTCGTGTTTTGTTGTAGAAAATGTCTAAATTTAAGTTAGCCAGGCCGCCAAATTTCCTACTGTACTTCAAAACACAATAAGGACACAGCAGGGATTTGTAGTTTCTACTTCCGATTCATTAAAAAGCCAAAAGCTCAATTTAGATGATTACATCACACATATATATAAATTACAACTAGCAATGATATAAATGATAATCGTGGCTGCACTCCGTCGCTGGCTGAGTGATTTATCTCGCTTTGGACGAGACTGAGCTGACGGACTACAAACGCTAACCGGAAGTAGCTAAAAGTAGTGTTTTCTGTGCAGAGCTGCAAAAACTGCGGAGGTGAGTATTGACTGAAGGCAGTGCAAAGGTCGAAGTGGAAGCAGTAGGTGTCACGGTTGTTCTGTAAGTGTTTTAGTATAAAATAAGAGTGAGTAAAAATGATAAAAAAAAATTCCGAGATAAGCAAATCATCCCAGGCTGCAGGTACCGTTTCTAGGGACAGAAGCTGCACAGAGAAGCTGCTTTTCCCACCGTGGTTACAACTTGCAGCTCTATTATAATGCGACAGCGGGAGATAATTACGTGTTATTATTTTGTGCAGATTAGCGAACTTAATTTGCACTTGTTCCATTATGGCAGCCGGTTCTCAGAAAAGTTAGGGTTCACGCAAGTTTTAAGAGTTTAAGGAGTTTAGACTGAGGCATTAAAAGTCAGAATCTGGAGAATATTAGAAAAGTAGTGCATGACAGAATCGTTGCACTGCATTATAAACGTAAACTGATGATATACTAGGATTTCCCACACAGCTAGCTCTATAGTTTACATAGAATGGTCAGAAATGGAGGGGGAAACAATCCAGTCATATTAGGCAGGTCTCTGGGGGGAAATGCCTTATTTTCTTTAAATCAAATATCCAGTCATTGTTCAGCTGTGGCTCAGGTGGTCTACTGTCGGTGGATTTCGATATCTCAGACTAAAGCTTAGTGTCAGTCTTAATTGGAGTGTAAATGTGTGTGTGAATGTTAGATAGAAGTCACTTACGTTTAAAAGAGTGTGTGTGAATGAGACATGCTGACTGACTGCTCAAGAAAAGTAGAAAATGGTAGTGGTCACCAGTGCTACACTACAGCCTCCTAGTAGCTGCACCTTTAATATAAATGTTAAAATCCCAGGTGATTTTCAGAAAACGACCACATTCTTAAGTTTTCATATTCACAAACTTGGGTGTCCATGACGCCCGGCCTTGTGCAGCATGAACATTTACCATTTATTAACCAAGGTGTATACTGAAGAACTTCTGTGCACAGCACACCTGAAGCCGCAGCAGCAGCATATCACACCAGGCGCCGCTCCTGTCAGCTAACAACAGGAAAATGAAGCTATAGTCCTCCATCTTATTTCTCTAATCCAATTCAAGGCTACAGTTGGGTCGGAGCCTATCCCAGTGAGAGTCACACTACACCATGGACAGGTCACCAATCTACCAGAGGGCTAACATATAGAGACAAACGGTTATTCATGTTTATTCACACAAAATCAGTTAAACTACCATCCATGTCTTTGGACTGTGCATTTGTTGAAGGATCAGGTATGACCTCTACTATCTGTTTCCACTTCCTCTTCTTCTCACACGAACAGATGAGACTTCCTCTTCGCTCCTTTTGCATCTTCAGGAGTGTAATCGCTCGGGGGCAAGCTGTGGACGTGCAGAGGCGAGGACTCAGCGGTGCAGCGATGCGTCTGGTGCAGTTTCGACGTCGTGGTGAAGGAGCAAGCATCAGGGTGGGAGTGGAGCAAGGTGAGGGGCACAGTGTGGTGGATCTGAAGGCATTTGACCCCTCGATGCCGTCAACAATGAGAGAGCTTCTGGAGCTGGGAGACAAGGGCCTGGAGTGTGCACAGAGGTGTCAACAACTCTCTTCCATTAAGCCATTAATTAATACAGCCATACTATTGCCTTATGCTCCTCCTACTCAAATGACTCAGTCATCAGCTTATTTGATTACACTCATCTCAAATCATCATCATTTTAGTATTTTCAGTTAACACAATCTTCTTTCTCACATACGTCAACAAGCTTGGTCATCTGTTCAACTTCTGTTTTCCACATCATCTAAAACCAGTCTTCCTCCTCATCATCCTCAGAGCTTTGGCGTCCGGTAAGTGTGTAGTAGACCGAGCAGACATCCAGCTGCTGTCTCCAGTGACAGGTCCAGAGAAGGTGGTATGTGTGGGTATGAACTACCGCGACCACTGCCTGGAACAAAATGCTCCAATCCCCAAAGAACCAATCATCTTCAACAAGTTTCCCAGCGCCATCACAGGGCCGTACGATGACATCATACTGCCCTCTGAGAGCCAGGTGAGGGCAAGACTGACAGAGGCCTTAATAGGAAGAACAATGCTAACTCAAAAGAAGTCAAAGTTATATCTAGAAAAAGACAAAAAATAAATAAAATTCTTGTAAGATGATTGTTGAAGATCTCTGAGCAAAAACCACCACAACAGCTATCACCTCTAGCTTTTATCAGCCTTGACTTCAAACAAACCTGAAATCTCCGCTCTTATTATCCAGAATTACTCCCAAAGGACACAAGACATCTAATGTAGCCTTACAGACGACACAGACCCACGTTATCTGCGTTAAAGGCAGTGTGGGGTGCAGATAATAAAGGTCATCTCTGTCATATTTTTCAAATGGGTTGTGTTGTTCCTTAGTTCAAACAGCAGAACTAATGAAGAGACTGCATTGAGCTGATAATGTATGTTATCAAAGAGTCAGTGCACCCTGATCTGTGTCTTTTTAGCCCAAGTCTGCACAGCTCACACCACTGCAGACAGACTGAAGTCAACTGCACGCGACCTTTTCTGCTGATCATCAGCCTACATACTGATCTCAGAGTATGCGAATTGGATAGGATTGTGTAGAAGTGCATCTCTCTAGCTTTGAACTTCAAATCCCTTGAAAGTTGTCACATTAACATTTACTTTTAATGGAAAAATACTTTTACACGAGTGGTTAAAGGTTGAGTAGGTCACTGTTTAAAGTAGGAATCTGGTCTGGACAAGCCAGACTAGAGTGAAGAAAATACCAAAGTATTATAGAAAAGATTTGGGGGACTCCTTACGTTAGCCATTAAAAGTAGGCCCTGTGATATATTTCACATTTAGTGCCTGATTAAAATTTAACCAATCAAATTAATTCTTTTGTTTTCTTTGATAGATGTGAGCAGGACAATAATTTAACAGCACAACACTTGCATAAAAAAACCAAACAAGCTGTTTTTAGTATACTTTAATTTATTAATGCTAAAAAATGCACATGTGATGCTTCTTGACGCCGTTTTTACATCATCTTGGCCTTTTGTGGGATTGAAGGAGGTGGACTGGGAGGTGGAGTTGGCCTTTGTGATAGGACGAAGAGGAAAACACATCAAGGTCAGCATCACAGCATCAATGAAGGCCGCGGTGCTTTCACGCTTGGCGAAGCAGCTGTTCTGACTTGATTTCCACTCCTCTTTCTATTAGGAGGAAGACGCTCTCTCCTACGTGGCCGGGTTCACCGTGGCCAATGACGTCAGCGCTCGTGACTGGCAGATGAAGCGTAACGGGAAGCAGTGGCTTCTAGGAAAGACATTTGACAGCTTCTGTCCTCTCGGCCCAGCCTTAGTAACCACTGACACCGTGACAGGTGAGAGAACAGCAGGAAGCGTGAGGCTGAAAGGGGGAATTAAAGACAATCTGGTGACTCATGCAATTATCTGTGATTCTGTACGCCAGCAGCTTCACCGAGTTAACAAGCTGCAATTCAGTGAGGAAATGTTGTTTTTGTAGCTGATGGGAGCAGCATGAAAGCCCCAACCAGATGATAGTGGTAACCATTAGGATTTCTAAAGGCTAAAAACATTCTTGTCAAATGTGGGCCATCGTGTTTACGATTCACCACGGTTTAATTTCTGCTACCAACGGTTTAATAACAAAACAAAGAAATTCTTACTTCTATATGCAGACTAGAATATTCCTGCATCACATCATAATATCCATTTTCAAAGATGAGATGTTCACATAAAAATGTCCCACGATGATGTTTGTGCTTAACAGGCGATCATCGCTGATATTTGCTTTTGGGTTACGGCCATTATTTGAGCTGACAAGTAAAAAACTCGCGTAAGATACTATAAATGGTTATTGTTACATGCAGTTGTGAAACATTGGGTACACATTCAGTAGCTTGTAAAAAAAACATCTTTAACTGCAATAAATCTTCATCATGATTTTTTTTTTTTTTTTTTAATCAGCGCTACATTGTTGCTTCAGTTCATTCGTTCTGGCCGATCGTGGCTCAAGAGTTGGCAGTTCATCTTGTAATCGGAAGGTTGCCGGTTTGAGCCCCGGCTTGGACAGTCTCGGTCGTTGTGTCCTTGGGCAAGACACTTCACCCGTTGCCTACTGGTGGTGGTCAGAGGGCCTGGTGGCGCCAGTGTCCGGCAGCCTCGCCTCTGTCAGTGCGCCCCAGGGTGGCTGTGGCTACAATGTAGCTTTCCATCACCAGTGTGTGAATGTGTGGATGACTGAATGTGTAAAGCGCTTTGGGGTCCTTGGGGACTAGTAAAGCGCTATACAAATGCAGGCCATTTACCATTCAGGCTTTCATTTGTGAATGTTACAAACGGCTCGTGGATGAAGACTAAATTTATTGAACTCAACAGTAAAGATGTAAATCCACATCAGTGCTGTAAAGCAGTCCGTATATGTCAGATGTTGTATGTGTGAATCGCAGCTAAGCTGTAATATTGAAGTTTTTACAGATTTTTCACATTTGGTGTGACCAAAATTCACCAAAGTTAAATCAGCTCGAGCTCTCATTGGCGCTACATTCACAGATAATTTCTTGAGAACTGTGGATGCTAGACTGCTAACAAACAGACAAACAAACAATCAGAACTGATGACATTCTCACTTTTTTCGGGGGAGAACAAAATAACCAAACGTTGTGATGTGGTGTGGAGATGGTGCAGGAGCAGAGCAGGGTAGCAGCGTGCCCACGTCTACGGAAGGTGACATTTAAATAGCCTCCGGATGGACCACAAGCCCAGATCATCACCCCTCCATCACCATAGTTTAGAGCAGGGGTGGGCAACTCTAGGCCTCGAGGGCCGGTGTCCCTGCAGGTTTTAGATGTGTCCTTGAACCAACACAGCTGATTTAAATGGCTAAATTAGCTCCTCAACATGTCCTGAAGTTCTCCAGAGGCCTGGTAACGAACTAATCATGTGATTCAGGTGTGTTGACCCAAGGTGAGATCTAAAACCTGCAGGACACCGGCCCTCGAGGCCTGGAGTTGCCCACCCCTGGTGCTGATTTTACCAAACATGGTGCTGTGCATTACAGCCGGATGTCTCCACTTTTGTCTCATCTGGACATTGTTTCAGAAGTTTTTTGTTTATTGTTCAGATGCAACTTTGCAAAACTAAGCCGTGCTGACATGTCCTCTTCAGAGAGACGAGGCTTTTCTTTTATACAACACACTTGAAAAATGATTCAACACCGTCGCTGTCAAAGACCACGTCAGTCTAAGTTTAGTTAGAATGAAAATCGCTCTTTAAAGGTAGAGTGTGCTTGTCTGCCTGTTTGAAAATGATAATTACATAATTTTTATTATTAGTAATTGCCCTCCACAAGTGTCGTTGTCCTCTTACTTTGGTTATTTGCGTGCAGGTAAACCAGAGGCAGCTGAGCAATTAAAACCCTCTACGGATGGGTGACAATTTAAAGGAAAAGCCTAGATGCTTGACCCCCCTGCAGGGAGAGGAGGTGGCTGCGTTATGCTGTCGGGGGCATTTTGAATGTATGAGTTTAGTCTGTGTAAACATCACTGCACAGAAGAAAGTTCTGAGTGATCACATGTATCCTATAGTGCACTGTTGAAAAGACAGTGCCCCCGTCTACAGGCGAGAAATGACATTTAAATGCTAAAACATAAAAACTGTTGTTATCCACGATGCAGATGTACTCTTGAAAAAATAATAGTAGTGTGTTCATGACGGGTGGTCTAATAAATTTGTTTAGACTACTTTCCACCAGCTTCTTTAAAATAATAAAATGATTTCCCTACAAATTTGTCACCTATCTTTAGGCCTAAAGTCACAAGTAGGAAACTACTTCATGTGTCATTTCTCCTCCAGATCCTCATAACTTGAGCATCCGCTGCCTGGTTAATGGAGACACGGTCCAGGACAGCAACACGGATCAGATCATCTTCAAGACAGCAGCGCTTGTCGCTTGGGTCTCAAAGTAAGTTCCATAAATGAGAAGTTCAGATACTGTGTGTTTATGTACTCATATACATAACAAAGTACTCTTTTCTGCTTGAGTAACTCAAGCTGAGAGTTCAGATTCCAGGAAGTTAAGAAATGAAGCCACAAAAAGTTGCCGACTCTGAGCTAAAATTACACGCTTCATTTAAGACTTATCCACCCCAACCGGCACCCTGACCAGCTGGAGCGTTCTCTGATCTGATTTGAGATTTTAAGACTACAACGCCTCTCCCACTCTCGCTCAACTTACTGGTGATAATGCCTGTGTTATTCTCTTAATAATGGCAGCCCACAGCACCTTTCACAGGATCTGTGCAGACAGTGGAATAATCTGTGGGAGATATTGTTTCGCATGCTCCGGCTTAATCTAAATTAATACTGAAATTATACTGCGCGACGACGAGAAAGAAAATCCTAATTCGCTGAAGTGATGGTAATTCTTCTGATATTCCACTCTGTGCTTTTTCCCCTCCTGATAGGTTTGTGACATTGATTCCAGGCGATGTGTTTCTGACAGGAACTCCTCCAGGCGTGGGTGCATTTAGAAAGCCGCCCATCTTTCTCAAGGTGATTTTATAGTCTGACAAAAGTGGATTCGCAGCATGTACAGCTGGTCTGGACATGTTTTGTTACCAATGTGGTTTATGCCTCTATCAAACATGGTAAAAGTATTGAATAATGAGGTTGGTGTTTGCACAGGTAATATCTATCAGACTGCTTTTTCCCTTCTATTCTTATCTCTGTATGGTATCAAAGAAGGCTCGTTAACCCTCAGAAGTCTTACCCAAGAAGTGGCAGCAATATTGAAACCAGAGATTGTAGAAAGTCTGTGACATTCAAGAACTTTTGAGCCCAGTTCATGAAATCATGAAATGATCATCAATAAGTACAGGATACAGATGATTGACAGGGTACTAAATTAGAGCACAGGTGTCAACTCCAGTCCTCGAGGGCCAGTGTCCTGAAACCTTTACATGCATCCCTGCTGCAACACCTGAATAAATTTAGTAGATCATTAGCAAGACTCTTGAACTTGATTGCATGCTGAAGCAGCAATTCAGCCATTTGATTCATGCTACAGCAGCTCTTGAGTGAATGAACATGGTGCAATAAAAGCACTTTTTGAAGTACATTTTTCCAAACACTTACATATATATATAAATTTCCTTGAGTAAGGTTATGGGTTGCCACCTCAGCATGAGTTTAAGACTATAGAGTCTTGCTAATGACCTAATTTTATTCAGGTGTGTTGCAGCAGAGACAGAAAAGTTTTAGGACACTGGCCCTTGAGAAGGTTAGGAAGGTCGCTCACAACCAACCATCAGCAACAAAGTAATATGCAGGGCTCAAGTAATCAGAAGTGATAACTTGACCTTATCTCTAGGTTTTGGAAACAAAAGTCGACGTCAGACCAAATGTGAAAATCTGTAAAGAAAATTGTGTTACCCACAATTTTTTATGAGTCGTCTTCAAACTTCACAACAATATACCGGGCCTTGGGGGTCATGAGTACCTAGGTTGAATAAGTATTTGACCATGAAAACATTTTTCAAGAAATCATAAATAATGAGTAACATATCACGTGAAAGGGCATAGAGGGAGCTGTATAACACAATTTTTTCAATAACATCCTACGATGTCACAATGATAATATAACAGGCTGACATCATCATTTTGTAATAAAAACATAATAAAACATCAGAGTTGTAGTATAGCATTTGCCCTTTGGGGGCAGTTGTGCTCTCTGAGTGCTCTTGTTTTATTTGTTCCCTTATTGCTAAGATTTCGGAGAATAATTTAATAAAACACTACAGTATCAATTTCAAACTCCTACGCCGCCTCGTTCTCGAGTCATCGCATTCACAAACATGCGTGTCCACGACACCTGCTCATCCTGTGGGGCGATGGTAATACAGCATGAGCCATACAGCTGAGGGGTGAAGAAAGAAAAAATGGCTCTTTCAGAGTACCTAGGTTGAGAATTTGGCTTCAGGTTAAATTTGAGGGTTGAAACTGATGATGATTTAAGACCTCAGAGGGTTAATGTGGTCATCTCAGGCGCTTACAGTCACGTGGAAAAGAAAGTCTCCTGTGATGACTTTCTTTTCCACATTTGAGCACAGAATGTCCACACATCTGTTCAAACCTTTGGTTTACAAAGGTCGGCCAATCAGAATAAAGCCTTAGGTCACACATAAATAAATTGATTGTAGACGACAGTAGGTCACTAATGGCCAGGCTCTGGTTGCCTAGGTAACCATCTAATGAACATGCCACTCCCTCATATGAGAAGCAGTGGTTTTGGATGTGAGGCCAGCAAAGCTGAGCCAGCTCAGGACCTGCCTACTTAGCATTGCTAACACTTATTTTTTTCTGTTGTTGCTGCAAGTCGCTTAATTTCATTGACATTTTGTGGTTGTTATATTGCTGCAAGGCTCTTCCTGAAGAAAGAAGCTAAAACAGAAAACAAAAATTAAACTGTGAAACAATGCAAAGCCACTTTAGTAAAGGCAAAGAATTTAAAAAATGTAGCTGAAAAGAGGCATAAAAGGACTATATTGTCCTTTCTCCCATTAATTACTAACAGATAATAAGGCAGTGATTTGAAATGTGTTTTTTTTTTTTTTTTTTAAATTAAGTGTTAAAACATTTTTTTCTTGCAGAAGGGGGACGTGGTGGAGTGCCAGATAGAACAATTAGGTTCTATAATCAACAAAGTGGTGTAAACCCTGGGAAGAGAATCCATGAATGAACATCAGCCGCTGAACTGCACCTTCTGATCACCCTCACAATGAATTACTATTCAAATAGTTTTTTTCCCCCTTTTACATAATGTGAAAAAACCATCAAGAGATATGTAAAACTCCCTGATGAATGTTTTATTCATGATACTTCAGTAATTGTGAGGAGAGAAAATGTGTTATTTTCTTTTACTACACAAAACAGAGTAATTATGTGACTCAACCTCAGAGTGATCACGAGCTGTAAAAAATACCCTCCGTCAGCAGCCGCCCACTCGTGCTGTGCAGAAGAAACCGTGAACCTACTGATTTTTCTTTTTATGTGAAAATAAAAAAGTATTTTGACACTGACGTAAAAAGTATTTCTAATTATGATTTAATATTCAGGATCAAAGACTGCATATAAAACTTCAGTCAGAAGTGAAAGAACATCATCTTTCCCATAAAAGAAGGAAAACAGATTACTAGATGTGTGGAAATTAATGAAATTAAAAAATGCTGCTTCCAACTGTGTGTTGTTGTTTTTGTTTTGTTTTTTACTGCCCAGGAGAAAAATCTCTCTAATTACTTCGATCTGTGTTTCGACTCATGTAGCAGCTTTTAAATATGTCTGACAGAGCTTCAAGGATGGATTCAGTGTACTTGTTTACAATTTGCAGCAGTGTGACATGTTGACATCCTCAAACTGGCAACTACGTTTCGACCACTGTATCCCTTATAATTTGTAAACTGCTCCAGTTTAAGATTAGTTAGCTTTTTGTTGAACATATATGGTGCAAAGTGGAGTGCTTTGCAGCTCAGTGTCTCGCTAACCTCAAAATACCCTACAAAAAAACCTCAGCCTCAGGCAATCTTCACAAGTCACAGAGGAGATTTTCACCTCATCCAAGGATGTTACGTGATTGGTTTGTCTGTTTGCCAAGAGGATTACTAAACAAGTTATGAAAAGATCTGCATGAAAGTGTTTACTGAAGGCGGGGATTGGCCCAGGATAAACCTTTGGAGTTAATCTGGATCCACGAGTTTGTGGAAGGACCCTTTAAAGGAAATTTTGGAGACACTGTTTGAAGTTCTTGAGAAAACAAACTAACCCAGATCCATCTATTATTCTGGATCCACAGCCTCGCTTCATGCGCAGTGCAGAGGGAATCTTCAGCACTCTTCTAGTTTTTTATTATGAAGACTAAAGGAACACCTCGAATATGAAATCAGACTTACATATTCACAGAAATTAATGGAAAAAATGCTAAATTAGTTCACCCCCACTGGCAACTGTATAATAATTATAATAACTCATTTTGCATCGTCTGAATTGCGACTTCAAAATGCCACAGCCAATCAATCCCTATCCTGTTTTTTGTTTGTTTTTAAAGGTGTTCATGGTTTTCTTTTTTCCACGTGAGAGCAGCTCACATGGAAAACAGTCCTCAAAACTCACATTTCTTATTATGCAAATCCTCTGTTTTAAGTCTCGGTAGCTGCTCTTAAACAGATACTCAAACGCAAACCTTCTAATTTAATTTCTGTTCCGAGTGGGCCACGGCTACAGGCCAGTTCCACAACTATTTAGGACTCAGTATCCTCAGCTCAACACTGGAGGGCAGTAGATGCTCACGGCCGATGGCAGCTCAACCACTGCGGCTGTGGTCTGTGCTCGCTGAAGGAGTAAAAACAGCTGCACTGGCATGTGACTGTACAAACAGTCAGCTGTGAACGCCAAAATACAGAGGCCTCCAAGTCCCCATTAAAGCAAGCCATCGATTTGTCTCTGCATCTTAATGTCAAAAGGTCTATGTGAGACATACAGACTCTCCAGAGGTCTGACTCAGCACTGAATGATCTACGTCCAGAAGGAGAGCAGCTCAGAACCATGGCTGTGTGCAAGAGACTAACTAATAACTAATAAACTACGTTAAAGGGCTGTAAATGGTAAATGGCCTGCATTTGTATAGCGCTTTACTCAGTCCCTAAGGACCCCAAAGCGCTTTACACTACATTCAGTCATTCACCCATTCACACACACATATTCACACACTGGCAATGGCAAGCTACATTGTAGCCACAGCTGCCCTGGGGCGCACTGACAGAGGCGAGCTGTAGTTGGTTTAGTTTGTACACAGTGAACTTTTTGCGCTTTTGTTCAAGTCATGATGACACAGGAAGTTTTATTTGAGTATAAAGAACCAAACAAACATTTTCTCATGGAACAGACAAAACTTGATGCATCCTTCGTTACAACATAAACATGCGTGGATGCGCAAACTGTACCAACGAGCGTCATCCTACAGCGAGTCCTCACAACTGATTACAGGGACTTAATAATCCTCCTCTCCTGCGGCTTTATGCAAATGCTATTACTAAAGATAAACTTAAAATCAATGTCTCATCACTGAAAAATCAAAATGCAATTAACCTAAAGACACCAGCGTCCTGGCTCAGCATGCATCTGTTTTAACGGGCTCCCTTGATACAAACAGAGGATGAGGTCAGACTCTGCAAGAAAACAAAGCCGCGTTGAAGCCTTGAGTCATGCTGCTCAGTTAAATGTATTAATTGTAGAGGTACTGAGAGATGAAGCGGTGCAGTTTCTGCCTGTTTTCTGACAACTGGAACAAAGGACTAACAGCCAGGAAGACGCCTCCCTTCTGCCACTCCTCCAAGAGGACCTGAATTGAAAATAACGAGCAGAAACACAGATACGTTAGTAGCATTGCAACCACAGTGCTTATTATTTAGTAACCTTTATTTGAACAAAGTGAGTGCGCAGCTTTTTTCTTATCTTCATCAAAGCGCTTCCTGCACAAGGCTGAATAAAAAACAGTGAGGTAATAAGACGGATAAAAACAAAAAGCTCCCAAAGCAACAACGCTTCAAAAATGAAAGAGAAAAACAAAGCTACAGATTTCACATAAACAACATCACCTAATGCACTTAGCAAGGTCTGAAATAATGAGGCCAAATGAAAGAGGCAAACTTAAGATTGTGTTGTCCTTCCTTTTTCTTTTAAAGTTTCCTAAAAACTAGAAGCACATTTCCTGTTTGCTTCAACTTTGAGATCTTAGAATTCCCCCTGCCTTACCATCGGAGGCTTAAGATGAAGAAAAGGTCCATTTCTGACTGATAACCTCAATAATAAACTTAATAATTGCCTCTTGAGATGTTTGCAGATAAATGGGTCAATGATGCTCTATTTTTAAAAAGACCGCGATTCCCACCCGGCAGACTGAAAGAGAAGACTGATGGGAGCAGACACTTTGCCTGCCGAGTTGAAAGGCTGGTGTAGTGGTAGAGTAGGGATAAAAATGTTGCTTCTTTGCTCTTTCTTCTGAAAATCATACCTCCTACAACAAAAGGTAAAAGTAAGTAACATTCATTTATACGGTGCTTTTTACTCCTTTACATGAATAAAACCAACACTAAACAAAAGCTACACTATAAATCATTCTGGAAAATCCTGCGTTTCTGTTCAGATTTCGGAGTTTAAGTTGGTGCCCTTCTTTCTCTTCAATATTTCCTGCTGCTGTCTGCAGAATCACAGCAGATGGAGATAAGAGAGGCTCATATTCATCTGCAAGACAAACCATTTGCTGCGTTCCAACTTTCATTTTATGAAAAGAAAAAAAACAAAAAAACATCCGCAGACTTGAAAGCTGCAGCGGCATGATGATCTATCACAATATACATGAGGCCTTTATCCAGTCTCATCAAAGTTTCTGTTTAATCCAGAGTTCACTGTGCCCTGGTGGAGTGCTTTCATATCAGGTCATCTCACACCCAACGGGAAGAAAGAGAAATGTGCCACAAAAAAACAAGTTTTGTTGCTTCATACACTCCAGCAAAATATGCAGCATAATATCCTTCAGTGAGATCAAAACAATGCTTCATTGTTAAAATAAGTCCTATTCCGCGTATAACTCCTGCACTCCACAACATGTGGCTTTTTCAAGGTTACGTTCTTATTACTGAAAGGAGTCTAGTAGTTTTAAATTCTTCCGGGTAGAAAAACCTATAATCACAAATCACTTTTTATAAGGGGGTCATATATTTAGCGTGTAAAGTCTCAAGGAACTGCAGCTGTGAAATGAATGCAGTAAAAATTATGATATTTGAAGTTTCGAGATGGAAGGATTAGAGTGATGCATCATTGATCCCAACCAACCAACATTTAGAGGAGCCTTTTCCACATAGAAGCTGAACCGCAGCACATCTACAGAGATCGAAAGATGTTTTAATCTTTAGTCCAAACTTAGAATGGGAGAAAATGTAAAAACAGAAATAGACTGTGATAACAGCATTACAGGTTCATTTAAAAACAGTGAGGTTATAATGAGACACTATTATTGATTGTTCTATCGATCATTTTACTTCCAACTGTGAATTAGAGAGTTTATTAGAGCCTTATAAATATGGGACTGTAAACACTGATCTCATGTGTAAATGCTGCTTTAAAACTTCTCAGTGCAACCCTACCAAAAATGGCACCGGCACAGGGACCTCTGGGGTGGGAAAGGTTAAAGACCTGAATGTCAAATGTAAACCACTTTTGTCACAGATAAGAGACCTCAACCTGTCTGCGCTACTTTTTTCCATTTTCTAATTTTAAATAACTCATGTCTTTGGCTCAGTGAATTCTCTTTATGAACTGACATTTCTGCCTCCTACATGATTGGATTTGGTTGGTTCCAGCCAGGCAGAGAGTCCTCCTATTGCATCAAACATCAGGTTTCTGTTCACAGCTACTGAAAAATGCCACCAGTTTGATTGATTAATAGTGATTTGGAGATCACTTCAACTTTTTGAGAGTTGGATTGCACCTCAACTTTGAGTCTTGAGTGGAGCTATAATTCCTGGCAGACAGGCAGATTTGGACACACACACACACACACACACACACACACACACACAGGCTGTCACTCACCCCCAGGTCTATTAGTGTTCTGACTGCAGTGTGCGCCGCCTCCTCTGAGCAGCTCTCTGTGAGATACAGCAAAAAGACGCACATGAAACAAAAGAACAGACAGATATCCAATATAGAAAAAGCAGGTTGGGATAGGAGAACAAAGCCATACCAGTGGGACTGTATTTTTTTTCCAGAGTGTAACATTGTAGGGTCATTTGGGTATTTTCTGGTTATCTTTTCTGGTGTTTTTTTTTTAAACAAGGAGGATAGCATGTGATGGGAGTGAAAGGAGCTGTTTTTCTTCTCTGGTCTACGTACCTTTGTTACAACACACACTGAATCAGTTTTTTAAAAAAGGCAAGGTGACAAGCTTTTAAAGTTTTGACACAAAAATGGAAGATCTTTGTGAGGTTTTTTTTTTTCCAGAGGGATGTCAGGTTGAACTCACCATAGTGCTGTTTCTTCTTATTTGCTGTGTCACAAAGATGTGAGTGTATTTGAGCCACGAACTCAGCTTCTGCAGCAGGAAAGACATGAAAATGGAGGCAATTATTCAAGCGAAACAAAGCGAGAACAATCTGCTAAGATAAAGCCATCTTATTATAAAAGCTACTAGATAAAAGCTCTTTGATTCGTCCTGTAAAAGCAAAAACCATATCTGATTTTAATTTTGCTTTTATCCCCTTCAAGGTCCTCTCCTTGGTCACCTCTGTTTGAGTTTGTGGGTAAGGAAGATGTCACTAGAAGCTAAATCTGGCGAATGGGGGCGGGGAGTGTAAGTGGCTATAGTGTTGTGTGGCCAAAAGCACACCCTGCAGCTCGGGTCATTGGTGCTTAATGCTCACTCTCAGATGTTACAGGGTGATATAGTAGAACTCTGTACTCACAATATGAACATGGGGGATAAATTAATAAGGTACATCACTGTTAACGTGGAAAAAAAAAAAACAATGTGCGTGCTTCACATTCTGTTTTTGACCTGATGGTCTTTCTTGGGCCTGGAAAAATCCAACTCCTCCAATAAAGACTGCTGTTTGGTCTTTGGGTTGTGGCTGGAGAACCAGCTCTGATCACTGGTGATTATCTTCAACACAGAAGGGAGTTCAATTTATTGCAAAAGTTGATATTTGTGCTCTGGTTTTAGGTCTCTGGAACATTTTTAAATGTACATGGGAAAATGGTCAGAATGGCATTTCTAGTTGAAGCAGTGAGTGCTTCACCGTGAGAAAACACTGCAGTGCAGAGGTTCCCACATATTAAAACAGCACTTTGTTTTCATTGATTAATTTTTGCTCTTTTGGAAGTCCACTTGATGTGGATTCGACAGCCAAAGGTTTTGTTTAGGCAACACGGCATTTCTACACCACTAATCAAGAGAAATGAAAAACTGTTGAGATAAATGACCATTTAAAATAAAAAATACTTCATGCATAATTAGTTTGAAATGCTTTGATTGCATATTAACAATTAAGAGTTTTTATAATTTTAGTGACTATTTGTAGCTGACCTGCAGTACCTTCATGGCCACTAGGGGGCTGCAGACCACACCTTGGAAATTGCTGTTGCAGGTGAGTTTAAATCAGTATAGTTTTGGTTTTCAAAACATGAAAAATGTCACCAGCATTCACTGCATGCATCGATACTAGAGTTGGCCTGACTGAAAAGTCACTCTAATACCAGATCACGAGATTGTCAAATTACTCGTAACCACAAAAGGAATTTATGACCTATCTAATGTTTACCACCCCACATTGAACACAGGTGACCAGCTTCCCTTAAACAGTGTCCACATACCAGCCAGAGGCATCTCAAAGAGATCCAGCCCCATAGTGGTCCAGCATAGCGCCCTGAGATGTCCAGCTAGCATTCTGCAGAGGAAGAACAGCATCTCTGGACAGTGACTTGGCTGTCGTATCTAGAAGAAGTTGACACAGACCACGAAGGACACATAAGAGTAAATCAGAATGAGGCAGTGAAGAACTGAAAGATTATTTTCTACTACAATACCACATACTTAAACTCACTGTCAGGAGGACGATGCACAGCTCTGGGATGTGATATTACTCAAAATAAACTGTTGACTCGCTGAGGCTTGAATATTTGAAGGCAACATTTTTATGAGAGTGCTGCTGATGCACTGTTTGTAGAAGAAAATCGCAGTGGATAATAAATACATCCAAGACTATTAACGGTACGACAGAAGGAGCCCAATTACTTCTGCCAAGTAAGCCGTGTGATTGGTTTGGTTTGTTGGTCCGTTTTTAGCAGGATTACTCAAAAAGTTTTGGACAGATCTGCATGAAAACTTCACAAAAGTGGGGCTTGGCCCAACTTAGAAATGATTAACATTTGGAGTCGATACCAATATGGATCTGAATTCAAGGATTTTTTGGAAGGATTCGCTGCTATTGTGAGACGGGAGTAAATTGGACATTTTGTGTCACATTCTAACAAATGCACAATTTTAATATCACAGTTAAATCTGAGAAATCTCTTAATGTCTTTACGAAGACACAAAAAAACTAATCCAGATACACAACTCATGAATGGTGCAGAGGTAATATTAAGCCTTGACAGAGGTATGCAGCCTCAAGTGGCCTTTTTTAAGTGCATTACATTTAAGCGAAAGACCAGCAAAGAAAACAAACACTAATGAAAGAGTAAAGCCTTCTCAGTGACTTCAAACAATAGACTAATCTGCAGTGCCTACCAAAAGTTTAGAAGTACTCTGCTTCCTGGTCAAATAGCTGTTAGAAATAAATGATTGCCCCACTAATCATAAACCAGATGGGATGCTGTGTCACTGCAGGATGTTGTATAGATCTCTTCAATCGTGGATAAATCTGTAACAGTATTACCAACAATCTCCATGCTTCACAGCAGGAACGACATCCTTTCACCTTCTCGGAGTCGCAGTGGGCTGAACCAAAAATCTAAACCCCAAAACTTCGACTAAGATCAAAGCCCAGAAACCCATTCTTTGTGTTTCTTTGTAGGGATGGATATTGATAACAGTTTGATTGATACAAATCCCTTAATCCCTCCTGATCTGTGTACAAAGAAGAACAAAAAATTAAGACTATACAGATTTTCCCCCCCAGCTTTAGAATCATGTATTTCACCTGTGTAAAAGCTCAACTCCTGTGAATTTGACATCATTTTGCAACTACCAGAGGAAAAAATGGATTGGACAATGTAAAGACCAGTCTTGATTCCCATCCCTTTTTCCTGGCCTAAGCAGTTCTTTTCTTCTTATCGGTTTCCCTCAGGGGAGTTTCTTTGCAACAATTCGACCATGAAGGCCTGATTCACAGCCTCCCTTGAACAGTCGATATTGAGATGTGTCTGCTGTTTGAACTCTGGGAAGCACTGATGTGGGCTCTAATCTGAGCTGCCGTTAATTGTTCATCTCCGAGTCTCTAAGAAGTTATCCTCTGCGGCAAAGGGAAGTCTCGGCCTTCCTCTCCTGAAGCAGACAACACGATAGCCATTTTTGTTTGATAGATTTTACGATTACACTTTCTAAACTGACTGACCTTGGTGTCTGAAAGTAAAGATAGAGTGTCTTTTCTGTTTACTTAGTGGAGTGGTCCTTGCCATAACATGAAGTACTGCAGTAGCTCAAGGTCACTTCCGGCATATGAACACTATTGCAGTCCAGAATAACTGAATCTGAAGTTGGTTATAATTTTATTAACAGTGTTTAAAATTGTTAAACCAAACTTTTAGAAAACTAGGATTCAGCAAGTCAGATTCCTGAACAGCAGACTAAGAAAAGCATTTCTTTAAGGACTTGGATTTAACCACAGCAGTCGTGATGAAATATGACAGCTGCCCAAAAAACTGGAACCAAACTGTTCTCTAAAATATCCATAAATGCTTTAAAATTTGATCTTTCATTGCCTGACATTAAGGTCCTTGGCTGTGTACTCAAACTTTGGATAAACTGTGTAATTACTCTATAAAATCCTCTTCATTTGTCTCAGAAACTGGAAATAAATTTTGCTATAAAGACTGCGTTAATGAGTACATCAGATAATGAGAGGGGCCATGAAGCTGGTGGTTCATTAAACTACTTGATAAAGTGTGTGGGGACATTATAATCATGTGGAGTTCAGCTGCTCCTGTAAAATGTTCCATTTTCTTTGGACATTACACAACTGCACCAAACAGCTTGCAGCTCATATTTGGTTGATTCTGCTCTCCTCATCTAAACTTTAGGTTTTGTAGAAAGAGAATGGAGGTTTCTGCCACAACTTTCAAAGTGCACGGAGAAGAACAAGGGTCCTAAGAGGTCTAAGATAATTCAAGGTGACACCCTGATGAAGGCCACAGACCAAAATGTCTGATCAAGTAATAAAATTGTTCCTTATACCTTAAATGTTGCTGGGGCTTACATTAGTATATCAAAGTCTGAGCCAATCCTCATTTCTTTATATTTTGCTAGGAATATGTTAAGGTGCAGTGATTTATTGAAACGTGGAAACGAACACGTAAATACAGTATGTAAGGCATAGTTTATGCCTTGAAAGTCAATATTTGATATCTTTATTCTTCAACACAGTCTGAACTCTTGGACAAGCTTCCTCGTCTTTTCTTAAGACCTTTTCAGGATTAGTTCTCCAGACTTCTTGAAGGAGATTCAAAGCTTTTCTTTGGACACTGGCTGCATTTTGGTCCGTTCTCCGTCAAGATGATCTCACACTGCTTCAATAATGTTGAGGTCTGGGGTCTGGGGAGACAACTCCATGACTGATAGTGTTCCACTGTGGGGGGGGGGTTTCTTATCAGTTATGCTTTTACTGCACTGGAAGTGTTTTTATGATCAACATTATGCTGAAAAATGATGCTGTTTCCAGTCAGATGCTTTCTGATGGTACCTGGTATGCATTTTGACAAGATTCCCAATACCACTTGCTGAAATAGAGCCTTAAACTATGACAGACGACCGTGTTTTACAGATGGCTGTAGACATTTTGAACAAAAATGTCAAATGTGGATTCATCACTCCATCAAGAACTATTGTCACAGATTTTTAGTCAAGTTCTTGTATAATTTGGCACACCTCAGCCTCTTCTCCTGGTTTGCCTTCCCTAAGAATGGCTTCTTGACAGCAACCCTACCACCATTTCAGAGGAGTGGATGGATGAGTCGGAGGGCTGGATGCATTTCTCAGGTTCTGTGTCAGGTCGATTTTTTCTCTCTAAAGGAGATGACTTTCAGATACTGTTCATATGTTGTTGATAATTTTTAGGTCTTTTTTTTCTTCTGTCCTCTACCTATCCAGTTAAGGACACACTGCACCCAAGATACACCAAGTTTTCAGCTAACAACTCTGTTTATGCCTTTCAAACTGTGTAGATCCATAGATTCGACTAAAAAAAATAAGAATAAATGTTTCGGGACAGGCTGCTAGAAATAAAGCACCTAAAATAAAATTGTTTCTTCACTAAGATGTCTGCTATTTTTAGAAACAACTCTTTGTTCATCCCTTGTGTTTGGTGCCTAATTACCGAAGTATTGATTCACAGATCAGTGTTAAGTGGGTGAAGAAACAATAAAAAAAAACATCCCTCTGGGTGGAAAAAGCAGGTAATGTCCAAACAAAAACTGAAAGGCCTTCAGAACCTTGAACATTATTTGTCAAGACCACTTTAAAACATTACAAGAAAGCCTGGCTTCTTTAGATACCCAAAATATAAAGAAATGGGGCTTTTTGCACAGCACCTTATATCTGCATACAATCCTTTTTTTTTTTTTTAAATAATGCATTAATTAAGCTTTTATAACAACTTTTTATATTTTTGCTAATGAACTGGTGCCACTTAGTCAACTGGGCTAATTCAATTAGTGTTTAAACAATCATTATAAAAAAGGTGAAGCACTTAAATACACAGAAAAAGTTGGAGACAAAAATGACAGGATGAAAACGGAGCCGTCAGAGTAACGATCACGAGTTGAGTTTTGAGTTGTACGAGCAGTAAAAGCACATCACAACAAAAAGGTCAGCACTGCAGCTGTTGTATAAACAAGTCCAGAGAGACTGCTTAGCAAAGACATTACACAAAGAATGAATGTTTGCAAAGTGCAACAAAAAATGCATTTTCAGCACAATATTTACACATATAATATAAGGAGCTTTAAACTACAGAAATAAAATTGGATCCAAAAGGAAAATGGCAGAATCCAATAACACTAAAATGTCGATCATATTGATTTATTTATATTGCATTTTACTGTTTGTTTCACATAACTGAGAGGCAGCATGAATAAATAACCTAATACGCACAAACAAAAAAATATATACATACATTTGGGAAAACAAAACAGCAAAGTTTTCTTGCTTTTTCTTGCCTGCAAAACAAAAGTGAATCTACCTAGGCAAACTGAGGTTAGGGAATACTTTTTGCTGTCTGTTATGTAGGTGTATGCAGTCTTGCTTCAGCACCTGAACTGAGGATAGCAGTGCAGAGGCGGCAGGATAAGAAAAATGAGCGTACTGGATGGAGAGAGTTAAAAGATGGAGTTTGAAAGAGTGGAGCTTTGTAAACTGTAGTGCGGCACTTCCTTGGTGGACAAAGCTGAAATGAGAAGAAGTTATGCCAGCGTGGGTGGCACTATGCAGTCAACCAGCGAGCTACATGTGGCAAAGCCAGTCATAAGAATGCTCTAAAATCTTTAAATTATAAAAAAAATCAGGGCCTGTATTTCCAGAGTTAGGCATATGAATAGTAGAGAATTGCGAAGCACAAAAGAAGAGTAGTCTCCACACTGAAGAGTGCAATTTCCAATATTCAGAGGTGTCGCTTGGCAATCATTCATATGAAAAGCAGGTCATATACAGAAAGACGGCTCTACCTACTATTATGACATCATGTGACATGTAGCTCAGAAGGTAGAAGGTCATCTTGCTGGTTGGTGGTCTGCGTTTGATCTCAGATACTTCCTGCCCACGTGTTAAAATCTACTTGCTTAAGACCCCAATTACCCTCCCTGCCCCTAGTGGTTATGGTTAGGTAGTATCTTCATGGCACCTTACTGCCAATAGTTTCTGTGTGCATACTTGTATGGCTCAGGTTGTGGGTATATAAATCTGCACAATCAGTCTTGCTCTGACCACCTGACTCCTGTTTGGGAAGAAAAAAGGTTCTAATTTGAGTTTTTCTGTGAAAACTTAGTTTAAGGTAAAATTAGGTTCAGAAAAGTGGCAGTTTCAGTCTGTAAGTTTGTAGGAAATGATTGTGAGGTAATGGAAACACAAGTGTGTGTGTAAATGGGCATGTGGGAGGCAAATTGTAAGGCACTTTGATAAAAGCCCTATATAACGGCAGTCCATTTATCAGTCCATATCATAAAATGATCTAATAGGAACATAAAAATGCCCTGAAGCTAAAATGTAACACCATTAGATGTTTTTTTTTCCCCGAGCTTGAAGTATATGTGCCAGCTCTTTTTCATTTGAAAGTGTAGGTGTAGGTTTCCACTATTTACTGGAGAATTACAAAGTACAGTTTTGTTTGCCTGTATGACTTTTCTCATGTGATGCTTGAAATAAATCCCAGGAAGCACACAAAGCACCACTGAGCTCACAATACTCCTTTCACAGAACCTGGGATACACAACCTGTAACAAATATGAACAAATTAACATTACCAACTAAGGTACAACTAAATACTATTAGGAGGAAGGAGGCAAGGAGGTGGAGGGTGATGTGTTTTTGGAAGCAATGAAGCAATGATGATGCAGAGCTCAGTGGCAGACTTGAAAAGCACCAAATCTATATATGGCTTGCCTTTTGTAAACAGACAGGTGGTGGGCACATATAACTGAATGTCCTACATATTATAACCAACACATCTATAAAGACTTAATACACTGAAGTCTTTGAAAATGCTCTCTATTGCAAAACATAATGTAAAGTGCTGGTATCACCTTTTTTTTCTTTTTAAACTGCTCATAGTGTCGACTATTCACAATGTAAGCAAATGTTCATTGTTCCGAGATTTAAACAGGAAAAGCCATTTTAAGATGACAGCACCCACGGCCATTATGGTTCTTTAATGTGCGATAAGCAAATATGCAGTTTCTTACCTTTTCCATCATCTGGCAAAACAAAATGCTTCCAAGCACGTGGATGCTAAAACTTTGAATAACAATATCCTCATCTTTACTGGATTCTATGATGCTGAAGCTTGCATTTAAAACGCTTCATTGGTTAATGCTACTGCTATCTCCATAGCTGCCAGCAGAGCTGTTAAATAGTATGCCTGCTCACATCAATGTGATAAAACTGCTGCTCTTTCTCTATGCAGATTTACATTTGCACAGTCACGACTCCCGAGACCATCACCTCAAAGTTGCTCTGCAGTGAATACGAATAACATGCCTGCACCTTTGACAGCTGGTGAATTGGACACCTTGGAAGTCGGATATCACGTCCAAGAGTCACGACAGTTGGACTTCTTTTAAATCTAAGACCTTACTGCTAATTGGCATTCAGGATGTGGGCTCTGTCCATGCAGGTGCTTTTATAATGGAGATTCAGTTGCTTTAAAGTTGTATTTCACGTGGTTGTTCTGGTATTTTCTGTGCATGTCCTGTAGGCAGTTTGGGCCAGCGCACAGCCAGTCCCACAACGGTGCCTTTTGAGAACAAACTACCATAATAAACATATCGGAGAGCTGAATGTTAAGTAGTGCTACTTAGAGAACGATGAGTTAATATCCGTGGGAAGAAAATCACGGCCAACCAGATCTTAAGGCTTCATAACAGATGTGGGCCTTAAATTTCAACTGTCACTTCAGTGTCTATGAAGCCTACTCACTTCAGACGTTGAAATGAGTCATTTCAACTTTTTTATGTAACTTTTCAGTCTATCCAGTCTTTTTATTTCTCTCAGTGGAAAGATGTGGAACCAGCTCTATACTGGACACAACAGAAGAGAGATGAAGGAGCTACAGGGGCTCAGGAAAGCCAGTGGTCTTCTGTACCTTATAGGAGCAAAGGTCCGGCTCCTCGCAGTCAGAATCGCTGTGATAAGGGTCGTCAGAAGTGGTCCAGGTCAGAGGACCCTCCTGTTTCTTCCAGAAATCACAGATGGGAACATCCCTGGGAACCTCCAGAGGATAGTGGGCAGAACAGACAGAAGCAAGCTCTGGTTAACATAATATGCAAAATATAATTGAGACCACAGGATAAATGGATGACATTGTGTCTTTAACTCTTTCCCCCATAAAGACGTCATTTGACGACCGCCCTGCACCCTTAACCACGAGTTTTGATATCTCAGTATCTATAAATAAAGATGTGGTTTGACCACCACTGGAGTAGTTTTTTCCAAGGGAACCTTTATAGACAGAGCCTTCTGGTGAAAACCCAGACACTTCTTTTCCTGTAAGCAGACCTGAAATGCGTTCAGAAAAAGGCTTCAAGAGTTACTCCTAGTGGGCTTTAAAGGGGTAAAGAGTTAAATGAACCTGATTTCTACTGAAGTCTAAAAGCAATGCAATATAACGCTCTCTAGTACAACACCATCCTCTGGTGAACTGTGGCCTCATTAGCGGTGCTGGACTGCATTAGATTGTGGAGGTGTATGATATAAAGTCTCCAATGAGTACAGAGTAACTTAAATAGTTATAAAACCAAATTCAAACAAAGAAAACATTAAAGAGTTGAAGGTAACATTAAAATTGCATCTTTGGGTAAAACACACACCAGATCTATTACATATTTAATTCATTAAACTACCTTTAGGACAAGATTTCAGTGCAGTTTTGTTTGTGCAGGCCCAACTTTTAAAACTATTAAAATTTTTCTTACTTCTTCCTGGATCAGGATGCCACAGCGAACCAGACTGTCAATGGCATCCAGCGCGAAACTCTGGGAAGACTGACAAGGCTATTGAGAAAACGTGAGAGGGCAAATGATTCAATGGTGAGGCAAGGTTACAAACAGCTTCAGCCAATCACATATCTAAAAAATGCAGAGGGAGACGGCTGACAGGGAACATAAGGTGTGTAGTAGAGACGTAGGAATCATCTTAGAACGAGAATAAGGGGTGCCCGGGAGGGGAATCAGAGCAGGAGAGATGTTTCTCTGTGAGGAATGGGGAGAGAAATGTAGCTGCAAGCAGCAGAGACAAGAAAGAGCAGCTGCCGAAATGAAAGGTGGGCAAACAAAAAGGAATAGTATTTCTGGCTCAGATTCGGAGCCCTTGAAGTCAGTTTGATGGAGCATGTACACACACACACGCACACACACACACACACGCGCACACACAGATACACAGTGCACGCATACAATCCAAAACCTCTCTCTGGCTGAGACAGAGGCAGCAGAGCAGGATGAATGGCTGTTCAGCTCCATTAAACATCCATTGAATGAGACACGCTGGCTATGTGTGTGTGTGTGTGTGTGTGTGTGTGTGTGTGTGTGTGTGTGTGTGTGTGTGAGATATGAATTCAAACTCACTGGCATGAAGCCCGGAGGCAGGAGATGGCAGAGCTGCAAGGCTCTTGCAGTGAGCTCAGACTGGCAGAGCACCACATCAAACTCCGTGTCACCTTTGACCTCCACTCCTTCCACATCACTCCGCACGCTGCTGCTGACGCCACTGTGAGCCACCTCGCACAGCATGGCTGACACCGCACACGCTACGAACACAAACATTTTATTGTTTGCCTCCTCAAGACCAAATGTGCAGCACAGGTGTTGTGTGGCAAAGCAAGTGTTTGTTTATGACAGCTAAGTAGGTTACAATTTGGCTGAAATCTGTTAGCCATTACACACGCTCTTTGGAAAATAGATACACTGATGAGATTTTGCTGCTAAGCGTGAGCTAGGATTTCCGTCATTTACACAAGTGTTATTAAGTCTTTGTTTACATTCTCAATCCCAATTATCCTGCTTTTTCATGTCCTGGTGGAAAAGTCTTGACATTCAGATTGTTCATGTTCCTAAACTGTGCAGCTGTCACATCTCGGGAAATTCAAACCTGATGGAGAAACCTGTGAAGTGAATCCATTTTCCTTATTTTATTAAATTCAGTTTTATATTCATACAGCACCAAATCAAAACAGCAGTCACCTCCAGGCAGTTTATACTGTAAAGTAAAGACAAAACAAAAAAGTAAACAAAAATTTAAAACAATGACTTCAGATATTCCTGTTAACTAGTTTAATAGTCATTAACTGGTCAACTAGTCTAAAAATAAGAACACACATATGTGAGATCGATTAACAGAGTGCTGTTAATTTTAGCTGTGGTGTGCTAAGTTATCATTCACAGTACACTGCCTGCACTCAGTGTGGTTAGGTATTGCTCCAGCCTGACAGTTATATGTAATTTTACTCTGGCTCTGCACACTTACAGCCATTTATTTTCTGCATCAAATTACTGCAGAACTGCGCTCATTCATGGAGCTTTTCACCTCGCTTCTTTACAACTTCCCATCGCATAAAGGTCGGCAAGTGTCATTGTAACCTCTTGATGACAGGGCACTGCCAGTGTATATTAATAAAATAAAAGAAGGATTTTATTTTGCTACTTGTTTAACTGACTAGTATTTCTGGTCCCAAGTAGTGAGCAGCAACACCTCAAGGGCACATGACTACTATGGACAAAAGCTCAGGCTTCAAACAGCTTTTTTCCTACTCTTGGCTCCGGATGAGGTTAATAAAAGTGGGCGTTTCTATTATGGTAATCTCGACCACCCTTTTAACTTATCTGTTTGCAAAGTGGTAAAACTGCTTGTTGCAGGCTAGGGAATAACCTGAGGGACCGCACCATGCCCAGCATAACATAAATCGTTATGAATCATGACAAGCTAATCCAGTAGAGTCCAAGAATAAAACTGTGAAGCAGGAAATGAGCATAACACAGCCACTTTAAACAAAAACCATTATGGAGGCGGGGGAGATTTGACTATTGCTAACCCCAAATGTGTGTTTATCACATCGCTCTTTCGATTTGCTACAACATCACAACAACGTACTGTATACAGGACCTGATGCAACTTATTTTTACCACTTGAGGTTAGCACCCATGTATGAATATACAACAAAGAGACTTTCAGCAGTACAAAGCCCCCTGCCCACTAGTTTCACTTCCTATACAACCAAAAGAGGTCATGCAGGAACAGTGAATCATGCTGGAGAAGTAGCTTCCTGTAGTTCAAACCATTATTTTTACCTCCACCAGGAATCCTAAAATGGGGCTACAGTTTCTATGGCTTCATTCCTGTCTGCCTGTCAGCATGAAAATAAGATTTCAGCAGATAGCTCTGGGCTTGAGGATCTGGTAAAGTATAGATTTACGGTTTAGGATTTCTGCCATTAGACGATTACCATATATTACTGTCATGTATTATCGCTCTGTTCCCAACCAAAACACCAAAGAAAAACACAAGACACTGGATAATTCTGTAAATTAAAACACCAGATATTCAGTGCCAATACTCTTTAGATTATTGCTTTCAGCAATATCTGTGGTACAGGTGTAGGTTGTTTTAAAAAAAAAATGTGGGGGAAAAAAATACAGCTGCGGATATTAAAACACAAAAATAAAGTGTAGGTCTGTGACAGAAGGCAAACTATGTCTTTTAAAGGAAATGAATGACTTGGACGCCCATCCATAATCAAACCTCCACACTTCTATTTCCTCCTGCTCGCATCCAGGCCATCTATTTCCTGAATGCATAATGGGAATGGAAATAAAATGTAAAGAGCACAAGCAGCATATGTGAACACCATATGTTGGTTATGATAGACTTTCAGTATGTGCCCATTATCATAATTTTACACAGGAGATAACACAATCAAATTTAAACCAGGGATTTCCGGTCTCTATCCAAAAGAGGAGGTTTTTAATGGTGCCACGTGTAATACAGTTTGATTCAATTACATGCATTCCATACAACTGTGACCCTAATGCACATCTTGCATTTGTAGTCTGATTTGCTGTCCATGTCTTGCTCATGGATGGTCACTGAAGCAACTGCCAACTGTCTACAAGACAGTTGATGTACAGTTTAGCTCTCAGGGCCTTATTTGTAGTGACTGAAATTGAAATGCAGCCACGGAAAGATCTAAATAAAACCTGTAAGAATTATCTGACAGGCTTCAGCCAACAAAAACTAAAATACTGCAACTCTAGTACTGTTGTTTTAAATTTGACATATACTATATACTACTACTTTGATATACTATCACTGGCCAGTCACATGAAAGCTCGATACATTTAGACACGCAGACATGATCAAGACAATCTGCTGAAGTTCAAACTGCATCAGAATGTGGAGGAAAGGTGATTTAAGTGGCTGTGTACATGGTACAGTTGGTGATGCAAGACAGACTGATAATTTCAGAAACTGCTGACCTACTGGGATTTTCCCACTCAACCATCTCTAGACTTTATAGAGAATGGTCAGAAAAAGAGAAAATATCCAGTGAGCTGCAATTCTCTGGGCAAAAATGCCTTGCTGATGTCAGAGGTCAGAAGAGGATGCCAGACTGACAGGAAGGCAACGATTACTTACATAACAGCTCGCTACAAATAGGGCATGCAGAAGAGCATCTCTGAATGTACAACATGTCATCCCTTTGTCACCACATGTACTCAGCTTCTGATGGCTCGTTCCAGCAGGATAATGAGCCATGTCACAAAACTCAAACCATCTCAAACTGTACTTTGAGATGGTTACTCAAATGGGCTCCACAGTCATCAGATCTGATTCTCTGTCAACAGTGTTGGGGAGTAACGGAATACATGTGCCGCCGTTACGTATTTAAACACACTAAATATGTGTAGCTGTATTCCGTTACAGTTACCGTTTAAAAAGGTGGTATTCAGAATACAGTTACTTTGTTGAAATAAATGGATTACACGCCGGTATTTTCCTGTTTCATATGTTAGGCTATGCCCTCTCTATTTTTGGCAATTCCATGCACATTAAGAGGCTCAAATGCCTGTGTCTCAATCTCATAATGACGTGAACAAATGTTTTTTAAATTATTTAATATGAAGGCAATAGGCAGAGTGTTATAGGTGTAGTCCTAAAGAATGTAGCCTCATGGGTAGTGTAGTCCGTGCTGCAGGGAGAATGGCCTGCCATACCCGTTATGTGTCTGTGAGCACCAGGGAGGGAGAAAAAGTAGAGTGGAAAAGTACGAGTTGTCACCGATCAGAAACGGGAGATGGAAGCATGTAAATATTATAATAACCACTTCAGCCAAGAAGAGTGCCTGACGAGCCCAGTTGTAAGTACGCTATTAAGACTCGACTGTACACTGTGTTCATGTTTTCCTCTGAAACAATAAGTTCCGTTGGAGCAGCCTTTCAACGCCTCTCTCTGTCTGTCGCTAGCAAAGTTGACCCAGACAACAAAGTAAAGCTAGTTTTTGGCTACGAGCCCGTATTAGCCAGAGGTCCCTTTACTACGGTTCAGAGCCGCGGACCTGTTTTATATACGCACGGAATAGTTTTGTATGCGAGATCGCTGCTAAAAGTGCAGCCTTACCAAATGTCAACCTACTGTTACTCATTTTATATTAAGATTTAAACATCTAGTTGGTATTGGTATGGCGAGTAGCCTTTAGTAATAGTAACAAACCACACAGCAATAGTACATTCACGTAGTTGTAAAAAAGCATGATAATATATTAAGCAATCCAAAGTATTCAGAATACGTCACTCTCATTGAGTAACGTAACAGAATACATTACAATATACATTTTGGGGCATATATTCTGTAATCTGTAGTGGATTACATTTTATAGTTAACTAAAACTAAACTAAAAACTAAAACTAGATGTAATAAAAATCTTAGTTAACTAAATTAAAATAAATACTCGACTTTTGAAAAAACAAAACAAAAAAACAAAGAATTCTGTGAACCTTTAAAACGAACTAAACTAGAGGAAATATCCTTTGATTAAGTGCTTGTTATTTTGGTAACACATTTTTATCAAAACTTGTCTGATGAGGCTTTGATGGACATATTTATTGAATCATTTGGACATCTACAAGACCGTGAGTCGATGCTTTAAAAAGTTCTTTGTTTTTGCAGTAATACCTGTACTAATTTTCTTAAATCTTGCATCTGACATATGCCCTCTATACAACAATAATTAATAAAGACTAAAACTAAAGCTGAAAGTAATAAAACAACTAAAGTGAAACTTCACAGTTTCAAAAAACTACTAAAATGAGCCTACCTGCTCTGGAAAGTAACTGAAACTAAACTGAATTAAAGGTAAAAAGTCAAAACAAAATAAAAATTGAACACTAATAACAACTTAAAAACTATACTATCTCTGTGCTTTATCATCCAATAGAGCAACTTTAGGATGTGGTGAAACAGCAAATTCACATCATAAATGTGCAGCCGATATACCTGACGCAACTATTCCCAGCGCACCCCCACTATACGTTTAGGTTCGAGTTCAAGCATTATATACGAATCTCCACATACTCCTAAAGCTGGAAGCGATGGACATTAAAGAAATGTAAACTTAAAATGAAACAGTTTAATTCCACTGCTGACACTTGCTAGTTTAAAAAAAACTCTTTCTGTGTGCACACTCCCTGACACTGCTAAAAACTTGCTACCCCCTAAATGTCACGCATAATAAATTCTTAAAATTAAAATGTTTTCTCTAGAACTGATTTTCCAAGCTGACATGCCAACAGAGTAACTGCCAAGGCCTCCTACGAAAAATACGGTGCCTGCCAGAACACATGGTGATGGTGACAAGATGATAGATAAATAAACGTCCACGAAAATTATGTTACCTACATAAAACGCATGCCTTCAAAGTCACTCACCCCCAACAGCCTCCGAAATAAAGGCGTGTGTGACCGTCTTTGCCATGTAGGAGAGGTGAAGTGTGGCAGCAAGAGAAGGACAGGGCACAATCAATGGGTCTTTCCTAGAATTGGAGAGGTGTGTACCAAAAGGAAAAATAATAAAAGGTAGAATGTATTATTGATGAGCAACAGCTCATCAGCATTTTTCTTTTATGACAGGAAACTGACTTGGATGGAGCAGCAGCTATGATGAGGTGAGGGGCGAGCAGAGACAGGGAGTAGTGGACAACCTCTGTCAAACTTCCCCCAAAGCCGACGTCTTTGTTCCTGAACAAAAGTTCCTCTGTGAGCCAAGCCACATCACGACACAGAACAGATGTACTTACACCCTGCAGAGGAGAGAAGAAGGAAAAATCTAATTCCAAAATCAGACATGAACATTAACCATCTGCTGACATTAGTTAGAGACTGGTGGGTATGACTCAGAAAATCACTGTCACACTCTACTACACTTGCACGAAAAAAACCAATTCTGTTTATGAGCCGCTTGGAGTGTTGATGGATCCTTAGAGGGGTAGCAGCAGATTTTAACACTCACAGCAGCAAGAGGAAACTTGTTTGCATCTACACAGGGGCTGACAAACGAACCTTGCGATGTTTGTACAGCAGAAGACTGGACATAAGACTGGTGGGCATCACAGCCATGCAGGAAGTTGCAGCTAGACGCACACATACACACAAACACACACACAGATTATGCAGCACAATTTGCATACCATTATAGACTCATTTACTATTCAGCAAGGAAGATAATCCTGTACTTACAGAAGATGAGGTGGAGGATGATGGCAATGCTGAGGTTTCTCTCCGACCGACTTGGCTCTTGAAGTTCAGATGCATAATAAGAAGACGGCAGGAGCCACGACACTCTCCTCTGCCCGAATGCACTGCCAGCGCTTCAAAGAAAAAAAGGGGGAGTGAAAAGAGAAGAATACCAGCATAAATTTAGATTTTCATTTATTTATCTTATATAGAAGAGATGATGCCATAGAAAGAGAGACAGAAGGATGTGGCGCTCAAAGTGTTCTATGTAAAGAGAGCTGGTCTCTTGTCCCCGATGGCAAAGAGACAAATAACAACTGGAATGGAAAAACTGATGAGCAAAACAGCTTGTTGTGCTGACACAGTAGATGTTCACACCAGTTTCAACAGTTTGGTGGTACATCGTACTTTAGTTTTCCACACTGTATCTTTAACTGAATTAAAAGGGATGTTGTTGTAACTTCGTGCAATCGTAGCAGAAGTATAATCTGCATGGAAAGAGAAGAGAAACTTTGGAAACACTTTTTCCGATGTGTTTCCGATCCACTGAAATTAATGCTAAGGATCCCAATTCACATATTTATTTCATCATGTTACATCCCCCAACTTCTCCCTACTAACCCTTTGTTTTGTACTAATAGTAACAGTAAAAATGAGTCCAGAGAATCCATGGACGACAGGGTAGTCTCATATTAAACATCACATCCTTTTTCCAGGCCAGATCTGCAAGCCTCAACCTCATCCGACGAGAGAGACACCCAGGTAGTTACATGGGTCTCTTTCATATACTGCTAGAATAGGAAAGGCTTATCTTTTAAGGCTTCAAATGGAATCATAATTGTCCCAACTTGCAGTGACTGATTAGGAGTTTTATTATTGATCCACATGCTCAATATCCCAGCAGGCAAGTCCTTGCAGCAAGATGTAGAGCATGCTTAAAAATTACTTTATACTACTGGACATGGGGGGCAGCTCCACAAACAATGAAAATAAGATCTTACAGAAGACTGACATTTAGCATAATACTTGGACAAGGCTGGATTCCCTCAGGAATAATGTACAGCCTGTGTAAAATCTTGAATTGCCTCTCCCAAGCAGAGTTAAAGACCAGGACACTGGAGAGCTGCACAGGCCATAGAGGCCACTCCAGGCCTCCGGCTCTATATTAACCAGGTCAGATTCCAATCTGCCTTTTACTTTGTCAGCATTATCTACATGGAGGCTCAAGAGGATCTTATAAAGCCTCTTGGTAAAATATTTAAGTTGTATATTATATGGGAGAAATGGTGAGACCTCCAGTGAAATTTATAATGCCTACTTATCAAAGGTACTTTAACTGGCTGTAACAAAGCCTTTTCAGCTTTGGGGAAAATAAAGTACAACTTTACTTTTCTTATTTTGATGAAGATTAGGCAGCCTAGTAAGTATAAATGAGCTCACAGACATTACTAAAGGTCTAAGTATATAAATTTTTACCACATGTGACTGCAGTGGGGTATTTATAATTATCTAGTATATTTCTTTTTCTTTAACATTTTTTAGAGGTATTACATTATAGAACTGGAAACATTATTTATTTAATTTATAGCTAAAAAAATGAAACTATTGTAAAGTGAAGAAAAAAAATCTCTTAGATTAGGTCTACAGAATAGCTATAAAGCTTTCAGACGCTTTGAAACCAAAACCCGACATGTGTTTGTAAAGATCAATCATATTTTAAGCAATCTGCATTGACAGCAAATAAAACAAATATAACAGACTAATGGCTTAACAAATAAAATAGTAAAAAGTAAAACAAATTGAACACTTTCAGTTTAATTTTGATTCAAATCTATCTGCAGATCAAATGCACTGGTAAACCAGGAGGGTTGGTGGTGAAAGTAAACAAATCTGCCCACGAACTGTTACATGTTCTAAATAAACATGAGACATTTACGCGTGTACACCCATGCAAACCACCGCTCTCGAGAGGACAAATCGGCGCTGTCGTTTTTTTTGTCAAAGCCACATGGAGTCACTGGGGACGGGCAAAAGTGCTGCATGCTGTTCTGCAGCAGCCTTTCACGATTTGCTCTTTGTATTCCATATAAGAGCCATCTCACATTAAAACATGGGGTTGCTTTTATTGTGAAGCAGGCTCTGCACTTAGTATGCGATAGTTTATCTAGCGTACAAAATGAGATGATGGCCATTCCTGGCCTTTTTTCTAGCCATCCATCCATCCGTTATTTGTTGCTTATCCAATTCAGGATCCCAGGGGGGCTGGAGTCTATCCCAGCTGTCACTGGTCCAGAGTCGGGGGTAGCCCCTGGTCAGGTCGCCAGTCCATCACAGGGCCAACATGGAGACAGATAATCACACACTGTCGCATTCATGGCAAGTACTGACCCAACAGATATCAGGTGACCTTACGTGCATGGACTGTGAGAGGAAACCGGAGAACCCAGAGAGAACTCATGGAGACACAGTGAGAACATGTGTCTGCATGTAAACACAGCTAAATTCAAACCCAGGATCCTCTTGCTGTGAAATGACAGTGCTAACCACTCCACAAAAAACAACTATGTTAATTACTATAATTTATAATCAATATACTTAATGTTGTAAATGGAAAAATATTGAGAGACGCCATAAACAGCAGCACTAGCTGTTCCTTTCTATTTGTGCTCAATGAGTCTTTGGAGGTGTATTAAACCACAACTGCAATTATCACAGCAAACAAAGCACTCATTAAACAAGGAATGAAACTGAAATGATTATAACTTTAAAGAGTAATAACATAGTCTCTGAACTAAAAAGATCCTGTATTGGCCGTCAGCGATTTGAATGTGTTGAAGTGAAGTGGACTCATTGTCCGGGGAGTTGTGTAAGACATCATGTGAATCAGTCTTGATATTATTTGCTCCAGTTGAAAAAAAATTTCAACAGCCTTATCTAATTATATTGAATAATTTCATTACATAATTATATTACATAATAATAATTTCACTTACCCAAAAAATAGATAAATAAATGCATCACAAATTCAAGCTAACTCTAAAAGTGTTCAGTAAGAGTTCAGTGGATCACTTCACACTACATTTGTGCCTATAACGAGCAATAATGTTTTTCAGCTGTTTATCTGATGCTGTGTTAAAAGTGGTGTAGCATTGATGCATTCTGGTTCTATATTATTTTTAAGAGAAGATATCAAAACATTTTAGACAGAAATTGTTCATTTCAACTAAGAAAAGTTACAAAGTGTGTGCACTTTTGTAAACAGTGTCAGTCATATAGTCACTTATCCATCTCACCATCCATTATAAATCACAGGTTACTGTAATGTGTGAAATATAGAAATAAAGTTCTACATTTTATTGTCATCGGTTGGCTGTAGTGCCCAAAATAATGAGAATTAAAATCCACTGAGAAGTCAATGAGGCAAACAGTCACAATTACCTATTTTCAGTAGACTGGACATGCGATCTCACCTGTATCCAGACAGCTTACACCAAGCTTCCAAAAAACAACAACTGTGTTTTAGAAGCTAACAAGCTAATGTTAGGCTTGGCATTCCCTCTGATAAACAGTTTAAATTCTGACATAACATGAAAGTTTATTTACTAAGTGTCTGAGTCTAACAATTTTAGATCTACTACAATGAAAGTTTTTCTAATGCCAGCTAGCAGCCGCTAACAGAGGCTAACACCAACTAACAGCAGCAAAAACAACACAGTTTACTAACAGAAAAGTTCAGGATATCCTGACCAACTCACCTCGCTATCATTGTCATTGGACAGGCATGAGCTTCACTGACTCATTTACTTGTTTCATTGAATTCAGTTCATTCATTGACATCTAGAGATGAAATTTTAAACACTGGAGATTCTCTTTTTTTTCTTCAGTTTTTCCATGTAGCTCATAATAAGGTTTAAAGATACAAAGGTTTATCATGCTGCCCAGAATCTGTTGATGATAGAATCCCTATATACAAGTACATATGTCATATCTGTGAAGGCACCCTTAATGCTTGATGATATACTGCAAACCATTAAAAAAAATTAAGTACACTGTCAAAACAAAACTGCTGAGCAGTTTATATCCTGTCTTGCACAAGATCAGGAAAACATTTTGTTTGTTTTAGAGTTGTCTGTCTCTTCAGCTCTTACATATTGTAGTTAAAGGGTGAGCCAATGCTCCTTCCCAAATGTGGTTGCATTCAAATCAAAACATGCAAATACATACACTAAAATGTCTAAGCTTCAGTATCTGATACAGTGTGTTTGTAGCATTCTGAATTAAATATATGTAACGGTTAAATGATATGCAAATGCTCTAAAGCTGAAACCTCAGCAGCTAGGGAAAAACAGAGTGCAGCAGAAGCACTGAGCAGCGCCCAAGCATGTTTATGATGTAGGCGCAGAGAGTTGAAGTTGCTCACATGCAGATGACAATCCAATCTAACTACCCATCTCTACTCCTCTCTTTTTCTATCGCTTGCCATCTCTTTGACTCTGGCTGTTTTTTCCTCCATCCCTCTCATAAGAATTAAATGTATGATGGGAGAAGCCACTCTGCTCGTCAGAAGCCAAGCAGAGATTGAGCCAAATGTTATTTTCTTTCCGTTATCTTTTTTTCCACTGGCAGACTGTGTAATGTTGATGGTAATTGGACCGAGGCTAAGAGGATGAAAACTCTCATCAGTGCTTGCATCATATCTGTGCCAGATTTAAGGTTTAGAGAAAAGTTCTTCAAAGTTTAGGAGAAAACAACTTTTCAATTTCACAGATGCAGATAAAACACAATGCAGTTCCACTGTGGTTTGTTCATATGCAGTATTAATGTTCACTCACACATACAGACATGTATGCAGAAGCTTTGATTACCGGTTGTTGAGGATAACAGGAAGCAACAGGTCCTGTAGAGGGAGCCATTCATCTACTCTGCACCTGCCTGATTCGCACATCTCCTACACACAAACACACAGGATCGTTTACACACGCATGCACATGCAAAGAGCTTTAAATTTGCATCTTTAAATTACTTAAAACTAATGCTCTTGTTAACTGGGTTCATAAAACTGCACAAAGTCTCCATTAGTAACTCCATTTCCAGTTTATTAGGTATATCTAGCTAAAACTAATATATAGTGATACAGTGTATCCTGCAAATTTCCTACTGAAAAGCTATAATGCCAACCAAAGAGGCATTTAACTTATTATCTTTCTTGTGGTGTGCTGAATTACACTCACTCTCTCTACTCTCAACGTGCAGAAAACAGAGGGCATAAATGTAGAAATTGATTTATTATTTACTTAATATAATATGCTATAAATGAGATTTTACAGCTCAAAGGAAATTTTAACTAAGACTAATTTAAAATGAAATAATTTCAAAACTCATTTGTGAAGCTAATTTAATTATTACAATGTGAAAAGTGTGATTTATGACAAAGCTTTCTGTTTACTGGCACAAGAGTGTATAAATAAATGATCCCACAAAGCGTCACGAGACAATATTCTCAGCTCTTTTCAACAAAAACATGTCTGCCTTTCTTTCTTTCCACTAGGACAACATGACTGTTTGTTTAACCACTGTTAAAACGCTCAGAACTCATGCTCAAAGTAAACACCAGTACGGCTGAATGGGGTTTTTAATGACATGGGCTTCCTGCTGCGTACCTTGACAGAAAAGGGCTGGGCGAGGTGAATCCTCACACTTCCTTCTGGCCTCCAACAGAAAAGGCACCACAACCACTGGAAGATAGATCTCAACCCAACCTATGAAGATATGTAAAATACACACACACAGATATATATCTTGACATATTTACATTTAGGAGGACATGTGAACAGCAATACCACTAATGAGCAGGATCTATAACGAGTACTAAGATAAACAGCCGCCCTCATAGTGTGCTTAGGAGTACAGGAACTGTGCGTACAGCACTGTGTGTCTACAGTGTGTGAATGACAGAGCAGAAATGATGGGGGCAAGGACCTTATTATTGCAATTAACCAAAAGCAACACCCACTCTCCGGTATCATCTCAAAGTGCAGATAACAAAGGGCGTTATTAATGGAGACTAATAATCATCACAGCTGCCTTGAAAAAAATAAAATGCAAACCTCAACTCATCGACCAAAGCTGCCCAGTGAGAAATTAGAGAGCAAAGTTGTGAAAGCTCTCGAAGTTGGAGAGTCATCACTGACAACTTTGGGTTTTTTCTCGAGACCACAAGTTTCATTCTGTGAACACCTCTTTAGACAAAAATCAGAGAAACTTGTGCCGTCAACACACAACACAGATATCCTGATCACAGGACTGTAACTACAAAATCTTATTTTTAATGGACTCAATATTCTTTGTCTTTCTTCTGTTTAAGTAGACAATTCTCTTTTCCTATTTTTCAAACTACAGCTATTTTGGGGGTTCTTGAACAGAACGTTTAGGCTGTATTTGCTTACATTTGAGTGAACTTGCCCGTGTCTGCTTATTATCTATTAGCAGTTCCTGTTTTCAAAGTAAACATACATACAGCTATGCTTGGATGTAATAACTGAACCAAGTTAAAACTGTACAAAATAAAGTGAATTTTAGGTAAATTCATACAGTCATCACACTATTAAAGCATTATTTTTTTCTCCGATGTAGTGACACTGTATCTGTGTGTGAAAGGTCTTTGTGTTCACATTCACTCAGTTGTATCTTAAAAAGTGTTTGCATGTTGATTGCCTCCATGAGCTGTATGTCAAAGTAACTGCTGTCGCTCCAACTGTTTGTCGTGTTGATAAGTGAGCCAAAAAAATGGCACAGACTGCAATAACTAATTTCCTGTTGTTTTTATAACACTGGCAAGCACCTGTTCCTTTCACCATATGCAGTATTTCTGCCTCATGTTCTTTCCCCTTTTTGCAGTTTGAAAACACAGCACTAAAGCAAACCTGTTCACTTGTTCCTGAGGACAGAACAGTTACAGATGGATCCTATTAAGTGTGTGCGTGCGCTTGCAAGTGTTTGTTTACACACATCCACCTGAATGTAGGTCTTGGGTACACAATCGTACGAGATGCCCACGGGGACCAGACTGACGTCGGGGACAGATCCCTCTTTGATGAGCTGCCTGATGCGAGCCAGCCACTGGCCACCCAGGCCAGACCTCTCTGACACACCAATACTTATTGCCTGGCCCTCATGTAGCAGCTCACGTACCAGCTGAGGAGAGAAAGATGGCAAAGACAGAGGTGTGAAAAATCCTGGGAGTCAGAGAACAATTAACATAAACGCCTACAATGCATTTTGAAAAGACACATAAGCAATAATGCAAACCAGAAGATGGAGGAAACATTAAAAAAAAGTCCAGAGGCAGAATGTGGAGGAAAGTCAAGTCAAAATGCAGGAAGCAGGCAGGATAAAGAGCAGAGATAAAGCGGGACTGTGGGGGACACTTAATGACATTCAGAGATACTTCCCTCACCCCAAATCCTGTTTCCCCCTTACAGACAACAGAAATTCAATTACCATTGAACAGCAGCTAAACAGGCCTACACTCAATAAACAATAAAGGTCTATTAACACTGAAATACAAGCAATAAACAAGCCTGCCTTCTCACGCAAAACAAATATGCTTTCTCACTTGAAGCGCAACTGAAAACAAACAAAGTAATAAAACATCTCACAGCATCAATTCATAAACAGGCTGTTTATGTTTCACTTTAGCTATAGTCTCTGTATACCGACGTCAGACTGAGCTGTTTTATTGAACTGTATAACACAATATTGATCTTAGTAAAGACAGTAGCGCCTTTAAACGAAATGTGGCTTTAGGTAAACTGATACAGATCACAAAGCGGCTGGCTCCTTAGATATAAACAGATATTAAGAATAAATAGATGCTGATGATTACTGGTAAAAAAATAAAATAACTGAGGCACTTAGACAGGCACTTGAGGAAACCATAAAAGATGCAAGATGTGGGAGAAAACAATACACACCACGAATATCTCCCAGATAACCGACCTGTCAAGCTCCTGATTTAAACTACCAATGCTCTTCATATTTCCCCACCCTCGTTCTTATGGCTTTGTCACTCTAGCCAACTTCCAGAGCTGCAATATCTTTAGCAAAGACTGAAGCTACTTTGTAATTCTGAGAATGAATGGAAAGTAGGATGAGATGGTAGGGTGGCAGGCTGCATTCTGATTGGGGAGCTGACTGTGATAACAATCCGCCATGTAGTGCAATGAAAAGTCCCTGCGTGTCTGTGAGTATGAATTTAAATGAATGCACATACACTAAGCAGCAAAATTACAAAGATGGGAATTTTTGTTTACCTTCTAATTTTATATAATTACCTGCTGTCTAGGATTTATTTTTCATCAAAATGCATTAGCAACATGATTTCGAATTCAGGGCTCAGTGTGCCATTTTAACTTTCACATACAGCGCTAATGAGGAATTTGTACCAGGAGAACTTTTTTATGACTTGTGGCACAGAAGAATTTGTGCCTCTAACCTCAATTAGTTGTTGCCCATAAAATTGGACATTTGCATATTGTGACCCAAGTGGTAAACTGTCCTGATGCTGGTGTGCTGCAGAAGTCACCTAAACAGAATCTGTTTAAATTCACACTGACTGGTCACTTTATTAGGTATAACTGTTCAACTGCTTTTTAATGCAATTATCTATATCAACCAGTCGCATGCTAGCAAATCAATGCATTTAGGCATGTAGACATAGCCGAGATGATCCTGGCCATGTCTACATGATACATTATGATACAATGGAAGATTATTGAAAGCACAACACGTCAAAGCTCCAAGCAGATGTGCTACAGAAGAATTCTGTCAGCTAAGAACAGGAATAATTCTCAGCCAAAATTGGGCAATAGAAGATTGGAAAAACACTGCCTGATCTGATGAGTTCTGATTTCTGCTGCGGTTGGGTCAGAATTTGGTGTAAAGAGCACAAAGGAATGGATCTATCCTCCCTGCTATCAACAGTTCAGGATGATGGTGATGGTGTAATGACGTGCGGGATATTGTTAACAAACTTTGTGTCCTTTAGGACCAATTTGTCATTGTGTAAATGCTGACCATGTCAATCCCTTTATGACCACAGGGTACCCAACATCTGATCCTTTCAAGTTGCCACTAAGTGAATATGCTGTTACACTGATGGATTCTCGTATTAAACATGAACAAAGTTTCAAATGATGTGATCAGTGTGAGCCAAAAGCTCAGACTTTAGAGTGCTCTAAATGCTCAGGTTCAGACAGTTCATACCACTCTCGGATCTGTATGACATCAAAGAGAGGGAAAATTCTTAATATAGCGACACAGAAGAAAGCTGATTTAAAGGGTGAAGGGTGGACAATTTGTTTCAATCACCAGAGGAGATGTATCAATACCCATCGTAAGATAAATAAGACTCAGCTGTAAATCATACAGATCTTCTCCAGTTGAGTCTAAGAATAAAACATATGGAGCTGGAAAAGAGCAAAAAAGGTCCCCTTTAATTACACTGGGTTAGACTACAAACAGGCAATATTTGCCCAAGTTAGAAAAAAATGGGTAGAAAATTAAAAATCTCAGCAGCTATTTCATGGTCTGCTATGACATTTAGGGAACACAAATGTCAGTATCTCCCTTTTTTATGTGCTAGAATGAGGTTTGCATCTGTTTACTTTAACACTATGCCAGCTCATGTGTGGCACAGCTTGTGCCTGTTAATGTCCTGACGTTTCCATTTAACTTAAATAAAGCCTCTCAGAACCACTGCAATTGCTTGTTAAAGCAGTCAAGCGGAAGTTTGATGTCTGATGTAAGGACCAATTTCTTTTCCTTAAAATAAAGTATGAAAATCACCAGACCTAGGAACTCTTATATACTAACCCTTCTTATTTCTAACTTACAGCAGTCATGACAGACTGGTACAACGTGTCCATCTCAGCATCCTCCTCAGTAGGTGCAGAGGGTGGCAGGAGGACTACACCTACTTTCTGCAGGATGGATCTGCAGGATAAACAAAGCATAGCATAACTCAAACACTAGTTTAATCAAAGAAAATGTGCATAAAGTCATTCATGCACATTTTCACTGTTTGAAATAAAACTGCCCAGCTCAAAAATAGTAGCGTGAATAAAAGTGATAAACACAGCACTTTATTTAGTTTGTGTGTATGAATGTACCTTAGGGAGGCGTTCTTAATTTGGAGAGGACAAACAGTGTACGGGACTCTGAGGCTGTGATAGAAGAGCACGAGAGGGATGAGAGCGCAGTCCACGGCGCTCTGACGCACGTACACATAAACCAGCAGAGATCCCTGAATTAGAGAACAGAAGCAGCTTCTGATAAACAAAATTCCTCACATTGTAATTCATTACCTCAAACAAACACGGATTGTGCAGAGGTGACGCACAGATTAAGGAGCGAATCCGTGACCTTAGATTAAATCAGCTTTTGATCAAGCCACACAAAGGAAACAGGAAGGAATGAAGAAAAATTTATTTTATGTTTTAAAACTAGCAAAGACACAGTGAAAAATGTGTGAGGTCAACATTCAAGTATTTAAAGATGCAGCCACAGTTCAAGTATAGGTGGTGAGTATGCCTGAATGGCTGGATTGATTGTAGAAGTTGACAGCGCAACTTTGTTTTTTTCCCCAGTGTCAACAACAGCTCTATTATTTGTTTTGCGGTCCCTTATCTTTCGAGTAGCATTAGTGATTTTTTCCATTATGGACATGGAAATGAAGAGCTACTATCGCAAACTCAATTATATATCGAGTGAAGTCAAAGCAGAGAGATAAAACACGATGGCACTTCTGTGCATGCGATATTGTCGCTACAGCAAAAAGCGCTTTGCAATAAAAGAATTAAAACACATAAGCAGCCTGAGCATTGGTAGTCTTCATGAACTCATGATAAAAGATATATTTATTCTTTTTTATTTGCTTTTTTAATATACTGAAAGACACAATAACTGGGTTACACCTGAAATTATTTTATATGAATTTGGCTGTAACTACAGCCAGTATGCAGTGGTTCAAACAGTTCAGTGAGGTCACGCTGTAACCCAACTTGCCTCAATAACGCAGAAAATGAGAGATTTTCAGGTTTGTCATGAAACAATTTATGGATGAATAAATTGGTAAAGATTTAGACAATGGGACTAAACAAGATTTAAATTGATTTTGTACACAGTCTCTCCAGAGATAACCCTCGATATATCCTGACAATTACACTGCTCAAAAATATTAAAGAAACACTTGATCATCACTGTTTAATACAAAGTCATAAACACAAATCTGAATCCATTTCACCTCCACTGGAGAGGCAATGACAAGGCAACCCTCAGAAAGGGAGGGGGGGCTCGTCTTATTGCTGCTGTCTAATTTTTCTCTAGTTTTGCTTTTCACTGGTCTCCTTGTCACTACTTCTACCTGCAAACCAATTAGGTGTCACAGGTAGTTGAGCTCCTCAGTAATGGTACATCCAATGTGGTTTACTGTGTCTCCCAACATCAGTCTGTAGAGTGTGAAGGAGATACCAGGACACAGGTACAAGAAAAATATCACTGCAGCCCTGAAAAAAATCATCTCCAGTGGGTTACTTATGAGCATGTTTCTGACCAAACTGACCAAAAGACAATGTTAAGCTGCCTGCAATATATCATTCAGCAAGACTGGTTTGGCAATGGGTCAGTGATGGTCTGGGATGGTATTATCTTTGGAGGGTCACACAAACCTCCAGGTGTCAGCCAATAGTACCAAGATGAAATTATGAAAATCTCAGAGCCACTTCCACTTCATGCTCGTGCAGCTCCTCCTGCTGCAACACAATGCCCTTGGACAAATGGTGTAGTTAGCGCTTGAATGACAAAAGCACTCGTACTACTGAGGGGTTCTCAGGCTCTTCATACCTGAATCCAGTTGAGAAGCTCTGGCACAGAAATAGCATCATAGGCTATTCAGATCCAAATCTGGGAAGAAATCCCCAGAACAACATCTGCTGTCTTATCAGGAGAAGTCCAGATGTTGTTGGATTTAATGGACTGATTCTTATATAGCACTTTTCTGCTCTCCCGGAGCACTCAAAGCACTTTATACAACACACCTCATTCACCCATTAAGACCTATTCACACAGGCACTTCTTTTTCTATGATTAAATGCTTCCTATCTAACATTCACACATATTAATACTTTGATGGACGCATCAGAGAGGAACTTGGTGTTAGTATCTTGCCCAAGAATATTTGGCATGCAGGCTGGAGCAGCCAGGGATCGAACCACCGACCTTACTCCTGAGCTACACCCACCCTAATGTGCATACAGACACATGGGTGTCAAAAAAAATAACTGAGCCATCTGAAGATGCAAGTCACATCAGCGTGTGATTTAAATTGTGAACTTTGATCTTTGTTGAATCCGTCCTCACTGGATTGAAGATTTTTGTTTTCCACTGACTGCCGTTATGTCACAGTGAATTACTTATTGTATTTCAGAAACACTTTCCAACTTGAGTATTTTATTCATCAGGACTGGATGTGCGACTTTTACTTTTAAAAGTCACATTAACTTAATTTTTCACAGCAGAGTATTTGGAAACCATTAGAAATCATAAGAATAACATTTGAGGTTTTCTGTTAGCTGAAGCTGTTTTCACATGCACTGCCGCGTGCAACATGTGAGAAAGCACAACTTCACACAACATCCTGAATGTACTGACGTTTTCCAGAGTTTATCTGTGAAAACAACTTTAGACACACACAACATTTCAGCGATAACAAAGCTGAAGACCTCGCTCACTGAAATCATTCATGCCCATTTTAAGCCTGATTCAGAGTTATTTACTTCTGTTTATTTAGTCAACCATGTAATTGTGAAGTGTGAAGTTTGTTAGGAGATAAAGAAAATAATTCCACATAAAAAGGCAAGCAGGAGAAACCTCAACTTTCAAAAGATTCCAGACAATTAGATCTGTTTACTTCACCTTACCGAATATATTCTCACATTTCTGTTTACCTTGAAATCTTTTGGAGTAGATGTGTTTACAAATGGGGCGGCAGCTTGTTTACCATCTCAATAGATGTCAGAGCACAGCCTAATGTGAAGTCAAAACCTCCCAGTATCAACACTGTGCAAACACACAGTGTACTTTCCATTTTTTGCAGCAAGAGACACCCTTCAGCATAGCAGATATTTAATCTACAAAGGTGTGTGTGCATTTATAGAAATTTGTACCTCTTGTGAGGCTCTGTGTAAAGCCGACAGATGGTTGAGGTTAACTTGAATGCTGCCGAACACAGAAGCAAACATCTTCAGCATCGCCCAGCACACGAATCTAGTCAAAAGAGGATAGTGGGTGGAGGGATGTATAGAAAGAAGAGATGAAAAAGTTAATGACAAGAGATGCACACAAGGCCGTAATAGACAAATGAAGCCAAGAGAAATAATCACCAATAATATAATTTAGGAAACAGTTTAGCACAAAACGGGAGGAAAGGACAGTGTTAAATGTGATGTTATGTAAATGAGACAGGTGGGGGCAAGAGAGAGTGGGGGAAAAGGATGGAGATAAAAAAATGATGACATAGGAAAGAAGTGAATCAGTAAGCAATAAAACAGCAAGTGTGAGAGGATGACAGATGTAGATAGAGACAAAGTCTATAAATGAGGGAGACTGAGGAAGCAAGGAGAAATTGAATTTTGAAGAGATTTCTTAAACTTCAAGACAGTCAAAAAGTTTCTTCAGAAACAAAATAAAGTTTCCACTTCATTTCACTAGACATTTGAAGAATTTCTGACACTATCTGAGGCTACAGAAACATGGTCCCAAGAGATGATAGAGTCATAACATCCAATTTCGATTTAAATACAACTTAGTGCAGAGATCAAAAACACGCCGTCCACTGGCCGTGGACAAGTTTGTGTCTCAAACAGCTGTCAGTCATCTTGAAGAGCATGATGATTGACAGCTAGAAAGGCATTCATCTGTAAGCAGTCACACAAGAAGCTTTGAGCTGTCTTACAGTAGCACATAAGCATTTCTGTTTGTCTCTTCAACACAATTTAGGGTTTGGAAAGCCTATTGTTCTTCCCCCGAGTGACCAAAAAGAAGTAGGAATTTGTGATATCTACATATCTCCACTGACAGCTGACTATTCCAATTTTTTCCAGTAAAAATTCTTAAAACAATCCTGTGTACAAAAATGTAGAACATTCTTGTAAGACAGAAATCCGAAACCCTGAGCCTCAAATTCTGCTTTTTCTGCTGGTTTAAAAAAAAATACATAAATAAACATAATTACTGAAATGACATTTTTTTAATGAATCTGGCAATTATCTTGGGCTATTTTGTTGCTAATTAATATTCATAAGAGCTATGTTCCCCCCCCCCCTGTGATTGGCCTGTTCGTCATAGCAACCACAGCTGTGCGTTTTTGGGTATCGCCAACTAATACTGCAAAAACACTAAAGCCAACAATGTGTTAGTTAAGCTCTTAACATTTTTCACTTATTCAGTCCATCTATGTAATGAAAGATGTAAAAGTGACTCATGAATGGCCACGTCACTTTAAAAGAGGCTTTTTAATTAATTTCTCCATGCTTGTTGGGGACTATTCTTCAACACCGATCCACAGTAAACCTACAAAGCACAAGGACGGTCTAAGTTCAATTGATGCAACATTGTTAATGTTCATTGTCATTAAAAAACATTCAGCAAATGGCTCATTAATGTGTTTTTAATAGTTTTTGGACAGAATAAACCCTCAATGAAAATGAGAAAAAGCTTTAAAGACCTTGAGTGCACAAATGATACTTGTTGGCAGGATCAGTTGATGGATGGCTTTGGTGTTGTCGAGGCTTTAAAGGGACAGTTGACCTGATATTTTTTAGATGGCTCTTTTTTTTAGTCATTTTATTGTGGAATGCCCAGTTTTGGAGATATTAGCTGTGGACATGTCTGCCTTCCATCAAAGTCCTTCTACAGGCAAGTCTTGTCACTCGCCAGTAATACAGGGTGGGCCATTTATATGGATACACCGTAATAAAATGGGAATGGTTGGTGATATTAAAGTCCTGTTTGTGGCACATTAGTATATGTGAGGGGGCAAACTCTTCAAGATGGGTGGTGACCACGGCGGCCATTTAGAAGTTGGCCATCTTGGATACAACTTTTGTTTTTCCAATAGGAAATGTGACACATCAAACTTATTGGTAATGTCACAAGAAAAACAATGGTGTGCTTGGTTTCAATGTATGATCGTTTTGGTGACTGCAGTTGCCCGCAGCTTATCTGGATGATACCAACTGGTCTGCAAGCAGGTTTAACTTTCACGATAACGTCATTTTTAAAAAAGTTAAAAGAAAAAAAAAAAATCCAGATCTTATACATTTACTGCAAAAGAGAAGGTTATTGGCCACAGAATGGGTCAAAAACAAGTACGTATACAGCACAACCAAAGTTAAAACTGTGGTGTATTTTTACTGTGTGTGGGCAGAAATTCAGAAACAGCAATAACTCAGTTTCCTGCCCGGCTCTTGACTGGCTCTTCGAGGGCAGGAACAAAAAAAACATAATTTTTGCCATTACAGAATTCTCCAAAGCCCAACAAATCCTAGATTTCCATTCAGGATTTGTTGAAATGCAGTCTCTCTCTTATACTGCTTCTCTTGATTACAATGGGAATAAATCTCAATTAATCTATTTTGTTACTTGGGGAAACATTTGAAAACTCAGCATCAACATCACGTTCATGAAAGTAGAGAAAGTTTCATGCAGGAACTATTTTCTTTATACTAAATTACGTCCGTTTACTGTATCACTGCGCAGAAGAAAATGAGCATCTACCCATGATGAGAGAGGCTTGTGAAAAAAAGTCAGTAACGATCATGTCCTCGAAATAAAAGATGCCACACGCATCTTTTAGTTGGCAGATGGAGAGAGGATATAAGAAAAAATTCTTCCATGAAACTGCACAATTTTGCACTTTATTTTTTGCAACCTGGCCATGACATTTTAAAAAACAGCCGTCACTGCTGAGTTTTTTTTTTTAAAAAAATGTATTTTTTGGCACTTTGAGCATCACAAAAAAGATGCCACCTAGTTCTGTTATATTCAAGAAAAGGCAATATCTCTAAAACTGAGCAACTCGCATCACAACAATGCATATGGATAAGCAGTCGTATAGACCTAAATTACATTTTAGAAAAGCAATGTTGCTTTAATGTTGAAAATACATAAAATTAACTCCTTAGCCATTATGGAGTAGCAGCGAATGAATGAGAATAAAATAGGAATTTCTCATAAATTAAGATGTGAAAATCTTTTAGAATCGTTATATCATCAAAAGGCTCATCTTTTCTGCATCAAAAGATTTTAAAAAAATAATTAAAAGAAATCGCTGCAGACTGCAACTCCATTTTTGCTTCAGGCACACCGATATGATACATCTCACTCGTTATTTCTAAATGAAAGGTCTCACAGCACAGCTCTGAATCAATATGCAAATGTGATGTATTAGTAAATACACACAAACAACCATCTTTGAACCTAGCTTTTTTTCCCCCCAATCGACTCATGCACACATAAACAAACCTTAAGACGCCAGAGGAGATGCAGGTGTTAATGAGGGGGAGGAATGGTGAGAGACAATCTAGCTGCCCGTGGCCGTCTGCCCCCTCAGGTGCTTTGTGCTCTGCTGTGAGCGCCTTCTTCACCCTGAAACACATGGTCACAGGACAGCAGGGTTAATACGGAACAAAGCTTCATTTGTGCTACACTTAGACAAACACCAGCCTTCCAGTAAGACAACAACACCATCCCTGAGTGTGGAGGTTACATAAAGGTTAAACTCAATTACACAGGAGGAGGGACAACAACAGCTTCAAACTGAGGAACAGTGACAGAGATAGAAACCTCTCCTCAAGTTATCCCATCTTTCTTCGTTCACTCTTTATAGACTGAGATAGCCTTACTTTTCTGTTCTTTGCATGTCTTTGTCTTATCTCCACTAGTCCTTTCTCATTCTCTCTCTGCAGAACTGCAGGAACCCGTTTCATTTTCTGTATCTCTGCCTATCATTTATTTACTCTCCTCCAGCATCTCTACTCCTGTCATCCTCCCTCTCTTTCTCCTCAGGTACCTGTGACTCTGACAGACTCGCTCAAGCCTGCCACTAACAGGACTGCCGTAAACCTTGCACCCACTCACAAACAGGGCACAGCACACCCTCCGCACCAGCCAGCCTCGATACCTGCATACAATTCAAAGAAATGAGCATGAGTGAGAGCGCTGGGACCAAATAAATTTGTGTGGCTTTGCCCGAATGCGGTGGATACTCATACTACCTGGTTTGTGTCTCATTGACACTCAGCAGGTTGTGGAAACCAAGGGAATAGTTTTGTCCAAGCTTCTTGCTCTAAGCAATGACAAAAACAGATAAAGATAGATGACCTGAATGTCAACATCAACCACGAATGGGCTGTGTGGGGCACAATCCAATTTACTGTATAAAAAAAGGCTATAGCTGAAGGACACTATGTGAATGGGGATAGCTACAAGAGGATCTTTATACTCACAACCTTTGCGTGCCATATAAAGTCAGCATTTTTTACTCAGTGAAAGAGATCCATAATTACTCTGCACACTCACCAGACTGTCTGGGGTGCACTGGTGGCAGCACTGGCCCACAACTGGCCTGAACTTCCCCAAACAAGGAGGCACAGTTTTCATCATTTTCCTGATCTTTAATCCACATGACAGCTGGGAAGAAACACAAAACAGACACAACACAAACAGGATGTCACATGCAGAAAAACCACAACCACATCCACTTTTTGAAATAACACTCAACTGCCATGTTATTACGTACATAAAGCTAAAACTAATGTTTCTTATCTTATTTGACTTTAATTTGTTGCACCCTGATGTCTTTTAAGCTTGTGAAATTTTTTCTGTCTCTTTGATTGGTTTAACTCTGAATTCATATCGGCACGCCATTACTAGCAGTGCAGTAAATATTAATACAGTTCCCATGTGAGCCCCTGTATCAGACGCTCCCTGTGCAAATCAAACAAACAGCTCATGCGCTCAACAAGCCAGGCTGTGTACTGTATACTAATCAACCACACTTCAGGCCTCCCCGAGCAAGCTGACTGCTGGTCAGGTGTTCAAATATTTGCAGTACAGTACGATAAAACACGCCAGCCGACTGATTATCATGGTCGATGTGTTGTGTTGATCAGGATTCAGAGTGATCGCCTGGCTTTGGGAAAAAAAGATCTAATCAATCTCCTAAGATCAATGACACTTTCTCCAAGTTGAATGATGATGGATTCCAGAAAAGAGAGCAGCTGACTGGTAGATAAGGTCAATTTAAAGACAAAACCTTATGATCCTGAAAGTTTGGATCGAACTATCAATAACTTAAAGGGCCATACTCGTTCAGGGGAAAAGTACAAAGAAAAGAGGTAGACCAAAAAAATGAGAGGCATGCGGATTATCAGGCTAAACCTGTGTGTAAATAAGCTGGCCCAGCTCGATGACCAGAGTTACGCACTTATGTCTGCTCATTCCAAGGAGAAGGTAGAAATGCTTCGATCTGGATCTGATGCCCATGATATGTCATTAATTTCCTGGATTATTATTTTGTAGTTCTGTTCTTCTGCTAAGAGTGTTGTACATAACAAGAGATGAATGAAAGCCCCGGATCCAGACAGGAAGGGGATTTTACATTGTGCTGGCACGGTTTGTGCTATGTGATCACCACTTTCCTGGTGAGGAATTTTGTTTTTTAATGCATGTGAGTGGACTTATTGGGCATGACATCACTTTAAAGTTTTAGCTCATTTCAGTTTTGCTGAAAGTTTCAAGGCCTTGAAACTTGCTCAATATAGTAAAAGCTACATAAAAGGAACACGTGTGCATTGGATTTGATTAGAGTCACTTAATTTTGTTGTACTTTTGTGAGTTTTAATGGAGTTTTAAAATCATGGGGTGATCTATGAATCCCTCCTGGTGGTGCATTGAGATGCTGCTGTGAAGTCTGATCACAGAGCTATTCAGCTGCCACAAAGCTTTGCATTCATAAGCTGTGGTGTTTGGAAACTCGACAGGGAATAGAAATAATTAAAGTAGTGATGCTTTCAAAACAAAATCTTTCAATGTACCATCAGTTAGAGTCATGCAATAAGGAGGGCAAAAAAAAGTTTATTCGGCTTCTACATATCAGGGGGAATTTTCTCTATTTGTGCATTATTATATCCTGAAAACTTAAAAATCAACTCACAAAAATGAAAACATTAGACTGTTGTTTACCTATTTAAGGAAGTTATACAAAGATATTTATGAGGCAAAAAGTGTGTGAAACAGCTCAGTATTTTCTGTCACCCCGCTGTGTAACAAAAACTGCAGCTGCATTTTTCCAGTGACTTTGGGTTAGATCTGCATGCTAACTTGAAAGAACTTCTGCTCTTCCACAACAGTTTTTTAGATTAAGGTGAGTACTGATTTGATCATCCCAAAATATTTTCTTTACTTTCTCAGGGGCTCTTAGGGAATAAAATCATGCCAGCAAAATGCATCCAAGACCAGAACAGATTCTAACCCTGGTCATCTGTATCCTGCATAGATTCTGCTTTATCAGCTTTTAAAAATACAGCTAAAAGTCTAAAAGCTATGTCGCGTTTTCAGTAGCTGTTCAGTGGGCCAGATTGTCGTCTTTGGCGGGCTGATGTTGGACACTACTGATTTAGAGCCATAGAGATATTTCAGCGCCAAGAGCCCGACTCGCCTTTGCTGTTCACCTTGGCAGCTCATTACTTGTTGTCAAAATTGTAAAATTTAAATTTTAAAAGATCTGTAAGACTTGAGGAGAGTTTTCTACAGCTAAACTCATGATTTGTTTGAGCTGAGCAACAATCCTGCTTGCTTACTTCGTCTTTAGCAGAAAACCCCAAACTCTTACTATGCAACATGAAATCTGTCTGAGTTGGCCCGCCAAGTCCACCTACACAGCTAGGAGCTGGCACACAGGTACATCTTAGGCCCCTGAAGGGTTATATCAAGATCAAATAGTTTGACGTCATTGTGTTGCCTGGCAACCACCAACCAATGCGCTAAAATGACCCATTTGTAGCATTTATGCGCCCAGAACCCTAAAAACACCTTATAAAAATATTATAAAAGTATTGTTTTCATTTCAATAGCAACATTCATATCCACAAAGTCGAAGGACGCACGACAGAGCACTGTGAAAAACTCTTGACTTTCTGAGATAATTTTACATTTCACCCTGCCACTCTAGCCAATCAGATTGGCAACAGCTTCTCTTTCTTTCTAATATGACAATGATCCCAAACAAAATGCCAATGCAGTAAAAGCATACCTAGATAGAAAAACACAAACTATCAGTCATGGATTGGCCTCTCCAAGGCCCAAATCTCGACATTATTAAAGAAGTGTGCGATCATCTTTATACAGACAGGAACAAAAGGCAGCCAGCATCCAAAAAAAGAGCTTTGGATGTTCTTCGAGAAGCCCGGAGAATTATTCCTGAAGACTACTTGAAGAAATTACAAGAGAGCTTGCCTAAGAAAGTTCAGGCTTTGTTGAAGAGTAAATATGGTCATACCAAATATAGATTATATTAGATATATATTTTGTGTGACTTAAAAACATTCAAAATGACACCTGTAGAAATCTGCATTTCTGGAAATCTATAGGGAACAAATTAGTAGCAAATACTGCGACTAAATGTATCCTTTTCAAACCACTGCTTTTAATTTCTCTGTACAGATAATACATACTACGAAGTTTAAATCCTTTTTGAATGCTTGTTAACGATTTCCTCTTCCTCTCAGTCTTTCTGCCGATCTACGCTAATCGCTACAGCTAATCCAGCTGAATACCTAACACACAAAGTCAGATGTGAAAATGGTACAGTATAGACGTCCTCATTTCAGTGCAATGGAATACATAGGCATATTTACCATAATGTCAGTATTCCTTTAAAAATTATATTCATTTGTTGACGGGCATGTATGACTCACTGATGCATCACATCACTGATTTGGCACATCAAACAGAATTAAACACAAGGGGCCACGCATGTTCTCTCGTGATTGTGAAGAACAAAGCTTTTGAGATTAGTGCCCGTGGAGTAAGTGGGAGATGACAGTGGGAGAGAGACATGCAGGCAGTTCTTACAGCGGGTCTATTCTGCTGAATTGGAAGTGGAAGGACTGTGTCTTTGTTTATCCCATCATTCTTCTCCTGCTCCATGCTGAGGCCCCTGCTGATTTACAACCACAACCCTAAAAAAACAGAGAGAGATTGGGTAGGAAAAAAAGAGTATGAGGAGTCATGTCAAAAATGCTGCATTCTGACGTTATGTTGGATTATACTGTAATGTATGCTTGTGATCACATGTAAATGTTTTTAGTGCTTTTTGGAATAATTTGAAGGCATTTCATAGGGCTCAGAGAAAGACTTCCACCTTGCGATTTAAGATAACAAACACTCATCCACACACAATCTCAGCTTCCTTCTTGATAGTATCTCCCAATGCCCTTAGCTACAATTTCACCCACCTAACAAACCCTTTTCTTGCCCTGCACCATCACAAATTCTCTCAAATTCTTCAACACGCCTTTCATTCTTTTCAAATTAAGGGATATCAGCCTCTTGCTGCTAGTATCACTGAATTGGTCTCCTATTGCTTCCTCTTATTGGACTTCTAGTGGCAAACTTCACTTTAAAAGTTTTCTGCTTACTTCTATATGCAGGTAGGAATCAAACAAGGACAGAACTGCCATTAAGAGGTTAGAGATGTTGAAGAACTCGAGGCTGTCCTTGCTCAGCAACACACAGGTGAAGCTGCACGAATGCTCACTAGTAGGTTATAAATCATTAAAAGCAGGGAACATAGCCATCAGCTGAAAAACAGCTCTTATGTAACTGATGCTGGTCCCTTGCCCACTCTGAACCGTAGTAATGAGTGTTGGCAACATAGGTCACAGTGTAATACAATCTAGCTTAAACAGGTTATCTAATTGATAGCACTGGCTGTGGTGGAGCTCAAGTGAGTAATCATCTGAAATTAAGGTAGATTTAATTCAGATTAATTCAAGTTCACACTCTCCAAAGGGAGAGCTACGCAAGCATAAAAGCCACCATCCTGAGAGAGATTACCTTTGGTTTGTATAAGGCTTTTGATTCTACTACAAAAGGGTGAAGATGTGTGCTGCTGCCTTCAAATAAACCTTTTTCTTTGGCTACATCAACGCGATTCAGGAGTCTCATTAGGCACAATGAAAGACTCTTCCTTTGCATCTCTGTCTTTCACTGTGTTGATCCCATTCTGCCCTATTAACTTTGCTAATTAAAACTTAAGCCCTCCCCATGGGAAGATGCTCCATTTCAACTGGCTCAAGTTCCCACATTCATTACCAACTCCTGTGGGAAATGGCAGACATTGATAAGAGCTTCCCAGGGCTCTGTAGTGTTTCACAGGTGCGGCAGGTGATGAAAGAGACAAGGCAGCAAAATGGGAGTAAAGAGTGTAAAACTGTAAATTACACAGGCAGAGAAACAGCAAAGTCTCTAATGGGGTTATATAATCCACTCAAGGGAATACAAGACCACATGGAAACAGCTAGAGACAGCAGTATGCCAAGGCCAGGTCAACGTAACACTGCAAACAAGATTTTAATTTTCTATGTGCCATCTTACCAGTCAACATACAGTACAGAAGTTAATGCAGCCGTGTAAAAACATTCACTTCAACATTGAGATCTGGGCCGCAGGTACCTCCTTAGAGCACTCATATTTATTCTTGCTTGACTCTTCCACTCGTTAAAACTTAACTGATCAATTATAGTATTTAATTAATATGCTGTAGTTTGCCAACGTGACAGCTCAGACCTAAGTGGGCCCATGATGAGAAATAATTAAGAATTAATAAGATTAAAAATCAGAAGCCATTAAAAGATGCCAGGACAGATTAGAGTGAGGATCATTTTAGAGCAGCAGTCAAAGGGATGTCAGCTGGTGCATTCATGTCTAGGGTAGGGTTAACCAGGAGTTAATAGCAGAGGCTTTAAAGGGGGTGTTATTGCTTTTTTCCTGCTAAATATTTTTTATTCTTGGACTATTAGAGTAGCTTTACATGATTTAAAGTTGCAAATTAGAGTTGCACCCATTGGCATCGGTCAACTACATTGCAAAGTACTGATTTTTGCAGCTTCCAGTTTTCTTTCAGAGATTTATAAATGACACCAAAATCAACTTTTATTCAATGCTAATTATTTTTTTCATATTTTAATGAAATGAAATTAATAAACTTTACAATTTCCTCCAAACCTTAGTAAGTTACAGGTTTCTCCTCTTACATAAACAACTGAATATACTATATTTTGCTGCTGGAAGGAGGAACAAATAATTCTCTGAAAACAGGTTCCCCACCTTTACCTGACATTTTCTATCTTCCTAAACAGAAGAAGGTGCAACAGATTTAGATAACAAAACAAATGTCAGTTATTTTGATTATTTTATTTATGTTTGTGACGAGACAATAGGACACCAAACCTTTACTCATTTTTCATTCATCTCCCTAATTTTCCTCATAAATGCTTTTGATCCTTTGCTCATACCAAGGCTGCTGGCTCTAGCTTAAGCCACTTAACCTTTATTTGTTTCTATAAAAAATTCAGGTTCAGCTGAGTGAGGGTGATTTAACTTTCTGATTAGATTTGTTGTTATAAACATTTTCATGGTGGTCCCCTCAGTGTTTACTTTGGACTTACTCACAGCAAAGAGCTTCCTTGCTGACAACATGTTAGTGTGTGGTTGTCAGCATTTGTCTGCGCCACTGTGGGGCATGCATCACAGATGCATGAAATGGACTGGTGCATAATTAGACATACGCAAAGCTGACCAGACCGAGAACATTAAACATTAGCTGGTCAGTTGGCCCATCGGTATTAAAAAATAAATAAATAAAAATCTTTATTTGTTTTATATGTACTGCTCCTTGGTGCAACCCCTCAAATGTTCTCTTGCACGTCCTATTTAAGAAACTGAAAAAGAACTTCCTCACACCCCGAGTGGGTACCGGCTGTGCACTGCTAGAGCTACAAAATGAACCTTCAGCAGGCCACTGGTGTGAAGGTCTTTGACCAAACAATCAAAAATAAACTTCTTGAAGTTGGCCTGAGGGAGCTATCCGGTGCTTGCTGTCTGGCATTGTGAATCCCAACTGGAATTTGCTGTAGAATTCCAGAATACCACAACATGTGACAGACGTGAAAATGTCTGGAGAACATAATGCGTGTAACATCACTCAGCATGACCGGTTTGATGGCGGATCAATGATGGTTTGGGGAGGCAAATCCATGGAGTGACGCACAAACTCGACGCTGGAAATTGGAACCCAGGCCATTAAGTATCAGGTAGAAAATCCCATATCCCATCTGTTGTCTGATTAGGAGCAGGCCCCGACATTGTCAGGCATTCATTCAAACACAGGGAACACACTAACTACTGAGTACCATTTTAAGTTCCTGCAATGAAATTCTAGCAAAAGTCTTTTTTTCCTCTCTTTGATTTTCTGGTTGTCTATCAATTTAGTTCTTTCATCAAAGAATATGTTATCCTAGTTTCTAACACCTCACTCAGTCCATATCAAGATGGATATTGAGCCTGACTTTTTTCACATTGAGATTGATGATTTCAAAGTGTTCCTTTAATTTTTTTAAGCAGCGTACACATATGCTACAATAATTACAATAATAACAGCTCATCTATCTGAAAAGGAGCTGCACACAGAGAAGATAACAGAATACATTTGTTTAAAATTCATCCTCCACACCTCCTAGAACAATTCAACTCTGAAAGGAAACTCTTCAGATAGGGTTAAGATAGGCAGCACCAAAAAATCATTTTAGATGATGAGAGAAACTGTAACTCCAGGGAAAAACACAAGAAAGTGTGCCCTAGATAGGTAAAAACCCATGACCCTCTTGTTGTGTATCAGAAATCAATGAGCTACACTGCTGTCCATGAGGGACGCAGGAAAAGTTTCTCCTTAAATCTCTATCCAGGTATCATTTGGATTTTCTGCAAAAGCTTTAAAAGATAAACTGTAAATTTTTCTATTAAACCACGGCAATGTCAAAGCAGCAGAGGAATCACACAGAAATGAACTGCATGTTTCTGTCAGAACAGCTTAAAGAACTTAAACTGAAATACACAAGGACAACATTAACACTCTTAATCTGACAAATGGAAAGGTTACTCTGAATGCTGTCAGAGCGCATTACGTATACTGAATTTAGCTGAACACCGCACTGATGGCAAAAAAGGATTGCATTTCACTGATAGCTAAATAATCAACAAGATTATAGTAGCTAACAATAACCTTAAAAAGTAACAATTACAGCATCACCTCAAACACAGAATTTGTAAAACTCACCTCTTGCAGTAGAAACTTGTTTACCGTGTTTGTTTTGAATGCTGTCACAGCTGAAATCCCCACAGCATACAAATTAGCTTTACAAGCCCCTCTACCCTGCAACAGTCCTTGTAATGCTGAACACTAACGTCATCAAGACGCACTTTTGCAGCTGTAACCGACACTGGTAGCTAATTAGCCTAATAACCTGTCTATCAAATATCAAAGGTAACGCCCAGAAAATAGCAGCATTTCACATTTGGATATTTTTCTGTCAGTGGTAGTCTTTAGAGCCAGGATTTCCTTCTGCAAACAAAAATAACTATGTTGTAAACACACCATGTGAACAATTCAGACAGCAACGAATTACTGTAAGCTTGCGTCAAAACGGCAACATATACCTGGAAGTGGTGTCATTTGAATTACACTGAACAGGCTGCTGATCTACTAGGATTTTCCTGCACAACCATCTCTTTATGGAGAATGGTCTGAAAAAGAGAAAATATCCAGTGAGCAGCAGTTCTCTGGGCAATGTAAGATGTCAGAAGAGTAGGGATGGGTATTGATAAGATTTTCACGAATCCGATTCCATTTTCGATTCTGTTTAATGATTCGATTCTTTATCGATTCTCTTATCGATTCTTATTTTTAAAAAAGGAGAACACTAAGGTCGATTAGCTTAGAACTTTGTTTTATATCTTCTCTTTGAACAAGATAAAAATTTAGGAGTAACATGGCCTTACAAACCCAGCAGTGAGATCTTAAGAGATCCAGCCTACGGCTCTTCAATGGGGTGTCACAGGGTCCCCAGGAAAAAAATTTGTAAATGTAAAATAATAAAATCAATATTCTTCTGTAGCAATAACAAAGTATAACATAAATTATTCTGTAGCAATTACACAAGAATATCCAGTAATGTCCCTTCCTACAATTAAACACATTCACTTACTGAAAATCGGGGGCATCTGCTGTGGCAAATGGGTGCAAACCTTTTACCACAAACTTAGACACTGCTCGGTGACATTTGTCTATCCTGGCCTGAAAGGAGACGCTACCTGTAGACTGCAGCGAGAACTGCCAGCAATTTAATAGTCGACGCGTCGTTTGAAGCTTTGTAAGATCCCAAAAGACGCAGGAATAAGTAGTAGGATTTAAGAGTGTAATAACGGACTGAAACAGAAGATGGCAGCACTGCATGTACAAGGATGCCAGCTGCCGTTAAACCCCGAAGAAGAAGAAGCTCTGTCCCAGAATTCATAGCGCAGCCCAGCTCAGTTTCCAACAATGGCGGCAGCTAGTTAGTTTTAATATTACTCTTATTATTCTTTCTGGGTCACAAAATAAACGTTTAACATATTTTCAGGCGAGAATGTAGCTGTGTAAACCTCAAATATCTGCTCAGTTTATCAGGACACCACATATTTTCAAAAGCGCTCCAACGTTTTCGGAGACGTCTGTTACCCACTAGCTCGATAGCTAGCCGGGGCGCCGTGAGAACACCGGACTCCCGGCAAATTGTTTTCAAACCCACCGCCGTCTTTCGCTACTCAGGTTAAATATATATGAGTCACTTAGATAACTTAAATGTTATTGTTTGGCTTTTTTAGTATTTTATTTGTTCCTGAGTAAATCGGTTTGGCTGAGATTAAAGTTATAGTTTTTACACAGCTGAATAAACGTCAAGCAGACAGCTGATTATCAGAAGTGTGAGATGCTGGATGAAAGACATAACATCATATCGCATACATTCGGATCAGACCAGCTGATTATCAGAAGTGTCGAAGATTGCTCCCAGCAATTTAACCTCCGGGTTCCACACCGTTGTATATTTAAGCATCAGCAAGGAGGTTTATTAAAACTTCACTGCGCAAGCAACAACTCTGACAATATAGATTGTCACCCATTGAGAGTATAGTTTATGATCATGAGCTTCATAGTATCCACTCAACATGGCACTAAAAAGCTGTGTTAGATATCCCTTCCGATTTGTGTTATTGGAATATATCCACACTTAATACACCCTACATAGCTCTCCTCGAGCTGAAGGGCTGATAATATAGATCAGATCTTATATAATGGCAGCACGCATGCTGCGTGGAATGACAATAGATGTTAACTAGAAGCTCTGACTAGTACGGTTTTAACCGATTCCTGAGCTAAATTAAGAGCACATGCATGAGCTAATCTGCAATATTAGGAGCCAAATGCATTTGTGGTCGACTGAAATTGCGCGCGAAAAAGTGAGATTTACATTGAGTAGAACATATTATGTTTGCCGCACCATATATATAGTAATAGATCTCGCGCTTTTCATGAAATCCGCGATACCTTCGAGCATGCACCTATGCGCTAGCTTGAGCAAGTCCTCTTACAGTTGACCACACTGACTGAGAAAGAGACAATGACACAGAAACTACTAAAAGAGCTCGAGAGCTGACTCGGCCTCTCCTCTCAGGTTCCCTCGCTCCTGGTCCAGTCTTAGTCCCAGGGTAAGGCGTCCCTCGCTCTGTACGGTCACCCAAAGGGAATATACGAACGCATGAATGTGCATCAACACACGAAGCCGAGAAATGTGCATGCCAGATTTGTAATGGGTAAAATCCGAGTCGTTTTGGCATCGCACAATTGCTCAGCAGCTGAGAGGGCTATGTCCAAACCAAAACTATATATCCTAAAGTAAAGTATTATAAAAAAAAACCCCACTAGAACAAACATTAAGTCAAGTGCCGCCGGTCCTCAGGATAAAAGGTTTTCTCACATTTCTGGAGCGGGACGCGTGAATGTGTGATTAATTGTAGGACGAGGGTCGACGGAAACAGGGGCGGTGAGGCGGCGAGAGGGGAGAGGAGGCAGGGGAGGCGGTGGAGCGAGGGCGGTGAAGGGGTGGTGGTGTGAGTGAGGGTGGCGAGAGCGGGCGGGGGCGGGCGGCGGGGGAAGGGGGGAGGGTGGAGGAGGGGCGAGTGTGAGGGGTGGGTGGGGGGGCGGGGGAGCGCGGTGGAGAGCGCGGAGGAGCGGCGTGGAGCGGAGAGGCGGGGTGGCCGAGCGTGGGTGAGGCGCGAGCAGGCGGAGTGGGTCGGGATGTGTGGTGAGCGGCGAGCTTGCGAGCGTGCGTGAGGAGTGCCGAGGCGAGAGAGGGGGAGCGGAGTAGGCGTCGCGGGCTGCTT